CTCGTGGAACCCTCGTGGAACCCTGGTGGAACCCTGGTGGAACCCTGGTGGAACCCTTGTGGAACCTTACCTCAGGGCCGCCCCGGACCACCCCGAAGCCTATCTGGGCTGAGACCCTGAAGCTTTCAGCTGTTGGGGAACAACACACACAGACAAACAAACAAGCAAATATAAAGCAAAAGTCCTGATCAGGCCTTCCGAAGCATCCCTGGTTCGAATCCTGTTGCGAGACGGACGAAATCCTGCTTGCCGGTTCCGAGTCGGGAATGAGGGAATAAACGTGGCGAATCCCCTGAAACGAAACCACCAGGGATAGTTTGTAAGGGTCATTCCATGTCTCATTTCCTGCTGAGCACCTGGGAAAGACTTAGGATACATTTTTCCTTTTGCCTGTGACTCAAAGTGAAGCAATCAATAAGATATTCATTTTACAACTGGTTCCCACTCTACTCATGACACCAGCAAGTTTATATCCCAGCTTTCAGCGCACAGGCCACATTGGCGGCGGCCACTCAAGAGCCCACAGCGGTGGAATCCGCAGGCGGACGACGTCGGGCGGGTTGTCCCCGGTTTTGCGGCCAGACTTGACCACTCCGGAACGGAAGATCCCAAGGCGCCCCCAGAAGGAGGTTCTTTTGAAGCTGATTGGATTGGGGAACCCCGAACAACAGCTCTGCCCGTGAAATCTTCTCCTTTCAACGAAGAAAATATAAAATCGGTGGGGGCCCCACCGCTCCCATAGGTTGGGTCAAACAACTTGATTTGTTTGTTTGTGCTTCATCTGAAAAGACAAATAAGCTCAGGTATCTCAGGTGATATCCCCAACAGCACGCGGTGCTCTTTTTAGTGCTCGCACCACCCCGCAGCCCTCGCAGAATCTCGTGGAACTTTCGTGGAACCCTCGCGGAACCTTGGTGGAAGCCTGGTGGAAGCCTGGTGGAACCCTGGTGGAACCCTGGTGGAATCCTGCTGGAACCCTGGTGGAACCCTTGTGGAACCCTTGTGGAACCCTCGTGGAACCCTCGTGGAACCTTACCTCAGGGCCGCCCCGGACCACCCCGGAGCCTATCTGGGCTGAGACCCCAAAGCTTTCAGCTGTTGCGGAAAAACGAAGGGAATCACTGAGCGTCCCGCGTTCTCTTGGGAAAAGAAGTAATGCCGACCGCTCTTTTCTTGCTGGGGGAGAGGATCAGTTTGTTCCTTGGGTGATCAAGTTAAAAGTCGAGGCCTGGCTTCAGCTTCCCCTTTTCCAAGTCGTTGAGGCGGCAGTCACTTCTTGCTGGTGCGATAGGCAGGGAATGATGGAATGACCCCCCAAAAAAACATATCCCCGAGTTGGTTTCCTGAAAACATCCCCAGCTTCATTCCCTCATTGCCTACTGAGCTACCGAGCACCAGCAAGACTCAGATTGCCCTTGACGACTCGAAGGCATCAGTATGTTTCAACCCCCCACCCCATGGTTGCAAGTCCCCGTTCGGTGAGTTACCAGGGCTACCCACCATTTTTTGCAATTCCTCCCGGACCATCCAAGGGTCGTGTGACACCGAGAACTCCCTCCCCTTTCAGTGAAGATTGTCCTAGTGTCACAGAAGTCGGCCCAACAGGAGCTTCCATACTGGAGTCTCTCCCGACAGAACCTGCCAACAGCCCACCCCTTAGCGTAATAGTACACATATAGACACAACGTGTGTGTGTGTACGTATAAATGTTTATATTATGCACACAATCTGTCTACATCTAGGGGGTATATGTTTTTGCTGGTTCCCTTTGGTTTTTGGCTTGCTTGGGGCAACCAAGGCTTTTGCGGTATTGGGCTCTACCGGAGCATCGCCCACTCCAATTGGCAATGTTACTAGGTTCTACCTAGTTTCATACTAATGGGTTATATAGCATTACAGAAAGGGCTGCATAAGCCTTTAGACACTCAAACAGTCCATCACCCATGCTGTAACGCATAACCTGTCTAAAACCAGCCGGGTTCCTGTATAAACCTTGATAACAACCCTTTAAGAGCTTTATGCAGGCATCTTACATCCCCTATAAACCTGAACGCACATCTTGCATGCCACACAAACCCCTGTAACCACGGGTCCGAAGTTTTCTTTTGTTGTTTCTCGGCAGGCCTCGTGAGCGGATCCATGGCTTCGCCCAGCGAGATGGCAGTGCCCACCTTTGTGCCCGGAGACTCGTAGCGCCGGGGAGAGCGGATGGCTCGTCCCTTTTTTTGAGGCACAAGCTGCCCCTTTTGTTTGGGTTTGAAAGGGAAACCAAGAGCAACAAGTGGGGTCCAAGAAAGAAGCCCAACCCAAGAAACATCAGCAGGTTTGTGTTTGTTTTGAGGGTGCTCCTTTTGTTTTGGTGGGTTCGAAAGGGAAACCAAGAGGAACACTTCTCCTTCTTCTGCTTCTTCTGTTTCTGATATTTTTTTAGGAGGGGGTCCGGGAGAAGAAAAAACACATCCCCACCCATATCGGTTGGAACCGCCTTGGAGTGGATTGCAACCGAGCGGATGGGCAACATCTGGGGCTCATCTTCTGGGACCGGGCCCCAAAAATTGGTAGTCATTCCTTTGGTTTCCGTGCCGACAGTTTCACCCCAACCGGTGCCAGAAAGGGATGCCCATATGGGAGTGGAGTGTTTTTTTTGAGGCTAGCCTTCTTGGGTTTGTTGCAAATTGGAGAAAAGATAGAACAAGCAAGTTCGGGCCCACCATGTTTAAAGGAAACCAAAGGACGACGTTGCAACTGGACCATTTTAGGTCTGGCTCAAGGTGAGGCACGCCTTTTTGAATAGTTTTATCCAGAAAGCACCAACCTAGAGCTGCGCTTGATCTTAGGACACACCGATATGTTTGAGAGCCGATATCCTTTGACTGTGGTCTCGTTGATGGTTGTCTATCAAGTTGGAAGGAAGCGAAAAGGAGGTTGCCCCACATGTGCGGGGCCTCTTGAATAGAACCCCTTATTGTTGTCGAACATCCCATCCCAGCTTCTTTTCAGTGCCCTCGATTCATTTTTTGGGTGCTATGATCCATTTTGAAAATACGGGCACTTAGTCCTAAATCAAAGAGGTCACTTAAGCCACTTAAAGGGCACTTAGACCCTCAGGGTTGCCCTCACACGGGGGCGGGACCGACGCTGGGCAAATCGAGCCGCAGAGACACGCGAAGGACACTCACGCAGGGGGGACCGACACTAGCGTAAGTGACCTTTTCAAGGGGTAAGTGACCTCGATTCGCACCCCCAATGACACTCAAATGACACGCTTTGACACTCAAAACGCCATGTTCGGGCTTTCCGGGTCGGCCCCAATCAAATGTGGCAGTTGTCACACTTCGACACGGGTAGCTCTTCGATTTCAACAGAATCCCAACCCCTATATACCCCTATCAAAGCCAAAAAGGGCACTTAGCAACCGAATCAAAGGGGCACTTAGGCCACCGACACTGCCTTAAGTGCCCTCGATTCCAAAACAGGTCAAGTGTAATTACTCCATTGGAGTTGGTCTATAAGAATTGATTCCCGGAAGTCTGCAGGTTCTCATTCGAAATCCTGGGCAAGTGCTGCAATGTTTTGTACACGTCTGACAGAGCTTGTCACTTCTGCGGATGAGACAAACCCTTGCTGGTGCTCAGTATGGAATGACCCAGGGTGTTGGAATGAGCAAAGGCATTCCCTTAAAGGAAACCATAGGGCGTGGTTTATAGGGGTCATTCCCTCATTCCCTGCTAAGAGCCAGCACGAGCCTGGTTTCTCTGTTTGGGCTGCTTTCTCGAGAGTCGCTTGCCACGAGGCCGTCACCGGAGGAAGAGGAGCTGGCACAGCGATTGCCTTGCATCCCATGGGGGCGTGTCTTTTGTGGTAGCCCTTTGTGTGGCTTTAAACCGCAGCTTCGGTAAACCAAAAGCAAGCAACTCATCTTCAGGCGTCCGAATGACATCAATGTCGGACAAAAAGTCAGAAAATGAGTCCCCTGCCCGAAAACTCTTTGCACTCTTTCCCCGAGAAAAAAAAAGAAAAGAAACAAACAACTAGTGGCTGGATATGAAGGCCAACACGGGCCACCAAAGGAAAGCTGGTCCCTTTCTCAAGGGTCTCCTAGTTTTGAATCTTTAACATAGCCTCTGGCTCAGAAAAAATAACTCCTTGCAGCTTTCCGATATGAACACAAGCAACGAACGAAACACCTCAACTCACACACTTTAGGAACCATCATGTTGTTCACCCTCTCAAAGGCTGCGCCAGGAGACCCCCAAAAAACACAAGTTGGGGGGGCCTTGGGATGCAAAAGTCGGGCTGTTGGGTCGATATTTTGTGTCGTAGGCCACGGGCCAAAGTTGCGCGTAAGTTTTGCGGGAAGGGTGTGTCGAGTGGAGTGCGTGCCGATTCATCGACTTAGTGAAGACATGAAGGCGATTGAAAGCTCGTGTGTCTCTTTTCGACAGCGTGCAGTGTGTTGAGTTGGTCTCAAGTGTCCCCAAAAGGAGCAAATACTCGTCATACAGTGGCTATATCTAAGAGTGCTGAACTATAAGATTATATCAATCAAGAAGGATGAAGACCAGCATAGCTAAGCCAGAACGTGTCGTGAAAGTACACTCCGGGAAATCAACATGGCCCTGCCTTCCGAAAAACGTTGGGTGTGCATGTTAAATTGCAAGGGACTGTCCTGGTTATAGTCTACACTGGCCGTGGCGTCCGTGTCGTCTCAGCCGAACAATGTTGCCGCCACCAGCATATCTTGCGATTGCTTTGTTTGCATACTGGTGTTTTATCTTGGAAGGAAATCAACTCACCCGCCCGCCTTGGGGACCCAATGCTCTCTCCCTGAAGTATACAACCAAGAATCGAGAGCGTGGGGCATTCCAGCCCAACATCTTGATTGATGCAAATCGATTTCAAGGAGTCCAAAACCAAGATGGCCAAGTACCCATGTAGACTTGGGGTTTGGCACTTGGCAGTTCTATTTCACCCGATCCAAAAACCGGTGCAACAGGTGATTAAAGAATAGGAGAGCGCTAAAAGGTTGATTCCTGTTGTTTTTCCTCTAAACAAAAAACAATGGGGTTGATATTGTCTTGTGTTGTAAGGGACACCAATGCAAGGAATGGGAAACGCTCGGAAGCCACTCGTTGCTTGTTTGTCCAGAGGTCCCAATTTAGAGAATTTATAGTGAACCGCCAAGAATAGCGGACCTTTCCGTTTGGGAATATGGCAGGCAGAACAATTGGGGGTGTACTTCCACAGCTCGCCATGGTTTCCAAAGACTCCAAGGGTTGAGGGTGGTTCTCGAACTGGGTGGACCCCGTTTTGGTTGGTATTCAAAGGGAAACCAAATGGAAACCAATATGTTTTTCTGGGTTCCTGCATTTTCAGAAGCACCCATGGCTGATTTTCTCCCCTTGCAGCCTTCCGGCCTTGAGCTGTCAGGATGCCCCGGACCTCATGCCTGAGCCCACCACGGCGGAGCACTCAGACCGGCCTGAGGCTGACCGGCGCAAAGCTGCAGAGTCCTGCGACTTCGATTGGCCACTTACTTACCTCTTAAAAACACAACTTTTCAACTTTTGGGGTAACATGGGCTATATGTATGGAAAAGATTATCTTTTCCAGGGCTTGGAGTTTTAAGGGGTAAGCTTAGGGAACCTGAATTTGAGGGCAAACTTTTCACTTGGCTCAGCTGGAAACCTAGAGGAAACTCGATCATTTGGAGTCCCTCTATTCTTGCACATAGCCATAGATTCTTTCCACTCCAAAAAGACCCAAGTTACCCCCCCTTCCCCCGGGGTTTAGTGGAAATAAAGGGCCGCTATACAGCCACATGTTTTTTCTTGGGCGTATACATTGAGGGGGTGGCCACACAACAGAAGCGAGGACTCCGGCTACCATCCTTGGTGTTTTTGTTCATAGACTCTCTCTTTGAGACCATTTTAGTGGTACATAAAACATGAACTTGTTTGGCCAATCCACTCAGGAAGTGAGTAGATCTAGGGAGTGATTCAACACTCAAGTTTGTTGTTTTGCTGAAAGCATCCGCCCTCTTGATTCTTTACATTGACATGGTTAGGACACCGGGTTTGGATTGTGACTCAGCCGTGTGGCCCATGCGACAGCTGCCAGTACTGTGTGACTTGCTGGTTCGCCTACTGCGGAGTTGCACCCAGCGACGAGGATGTGGGACGTTGACAGCAACAGTCTGGCTCGCATGGAACGCGGAATCGCCAGCCGCGACTGCCTGGTACCTTGTTGGCGCCCACTTGCGCACACATGGGTTTGGCTCTTGCTCAGGGTACCTTTTTCTTACAGTTTTAGCGGGAGCCAAAAGGAACACCACCATGTTAGTGGGTCCCCTACAAAAAGACACCCAAGTAGATTGTTTGAATCATGTTTGGCGATTCTTCTCAAAGGCCCAACCACGAAAACGAGCGTCGTTTTTTTTTTTTTTTTTTTTTTTTTTTATGCCGCAACTCCTATGATGCGAACCCGTTATGCTGGAACAAGTATTTGGAGGGTTCTGGAAAATTTGCGGTTTCTTTTCCCGAGTCGGCTTTAAACACGCGACGTGGTCATGGCTGACAAATACTAGACCGGGGGCGATCCTGGAAACCGTTGCCCCGTCACGATGGTAGGAGGGATTGACTGTAGAGTGACACTTTCGGCGAATCGAAGTAGTTGGGTTTCTCAAGCAAATGGACGTGGACCGCTAGAAAGGGAAAAGACACCCATATCTTTGAAACCTTGAAACCTGGCAGAGAACTCTGCCTGCGCGGAGCAGCTTAGCCAGAAATAACTTGAGGTTTGAGCCAAGGAATTCCCCCTGCACCAAACCCAGGCCCCTGTGTAACGTGCGAAGGGGTCACTACATCCTCCCCAAAAACAAAAATGAACCCCAAGCGTCAGGTTGCCTGGTTTGGGCTCATGTGTTGTGGATCATGCGGGGCCGGACTCAGAAAGGGCAATCCCGCAAAGGAAGCTCACTTCCTCGAATGGACTTTTCAAGTAGAACTTACCTCTTAAAAACACCACTTTTCAACTTTTTGGGTAACATGGGCTATATGTCTTTAAAATATTAACTTCCCCAGGGCTTGGAGTTTAAGGGGTAAGAGAACGTTTTGGTGGTAAAAAAGTTTGGACCTGTGACCAATCTACTTAACTGAGCCCAGGAAGTGGTCCAGTGCCAGTCGGCCGGCGACTGGCGAGTGAGTATACATGTACAAGTGAAAATGACCAGCGGCTGCTTGGAGTTTCTGCAGCTTTCCGAGTCACGTTCCTAAATTTTCCGAAGAAACACTCGTTCGAACAAGCGTAACCCAAGCTGGGGGGCGTCTTTTGGGGATGTTTTGTTTTGGGTTGTTTGTTTTTGTTTGTCCTCCAAACAGCCCCCCTCCCCCCAGTTGCCATCCATCCGGTTGCTTCCGCTGCTCTCAGGTGCCAGTTCCGCGGCCTGGGGCTGAGGGGCAAAAAGATTTCCGGAGGTATGGCCGTGGTTGTCAAAACCAATGGGATCCCGTTTTGGGGTAGGTGAATTCACCACCCATTCTAGTCTATTTTAGTCTATTTTTAGTGGGGATTGGGATGTTCATTGGGGGTACGATTTGGATTTTGACCCATGGCCATATGGGTCTGTGTTGAGTCGCCCCCAAATGGGGTTGGTTTAAAGGAAAGACAACCAAACCAAGGATGTGTTTGGTTCATTTTTGGTTGAGTTGGTCGCCTTTTCGGGTTTTACAGGAAAGGCCACAAGGCCGCGCGTTGCCACGTGTTTCCCTATTTTGAGACACCCAAATGAGTGGTGCACAGCCCGCATCGACCCTGCAAAGGGGGAAAGAGACCATTGGAAGCTCCCGGACCTCGAAAAAGGGAGAAATACCAGGTGCCACTTGACAATTCACATCCAGACATAGATCTATAGAGGATCCCCATTTTGTTTTTTCTCCATAGGGCACTTCCCACGAGTGAAAGCTGTGGGCTGAACCCGAAGAGAAGTCAGGGCTTGCGGGGCCAATTGGGTCAAGCTTTCTCTCGTATGTTCGTCCTTGGCGGTGTTCAGACCTTCCTTGACAAGAGAAAGAGCGGACTTGGGACCCTGTTTAGGCAATAAACCATTTTTAGTGGGAGACTCACCAAAGGAAAAAGAATTGTGTTTTCAGGGTAGAACAAAGAATCCGCCTTTTTAGCTGGGCTGTTCGAGTTGCAATCCTAAATCCTTACCTTGGGTAGCGCAAATGGTCACGTTTGTAGTGGGTTTCAATAGGAGTATGGACTAGGATTGGGCAACACACCTCTTTCCTAGAAGACAGTTGTAAGAATGTCGACAAGAAATTAGCCACATACCCACCAAAACCCAGGGAATCGATTTCCTGTAACCGCTTTGTTGGTCATTTGGAGCTGCCGAGCTGCCCAGCCTGGGCCAAAACGACTCCTTTGCGCCGAGGCACGCGGACAAGTACTCTTCGGCGCTGTCGGGGTCCCAAAGGCATCGTGGCTTACCCAACGGTTGAGGGATTGATACGCCGTGTTTGCACAAAAGGCCAAACAAACCGGCATTCAGAGTCGGGCGGGAGGGGGTCTGGGGGGGTACTTTGTGGGGCTTCCTGGTGCACGGAGTACTGATTTTTATTTGAGAAGCTGAGTACTTCCGGCTTTTGGCAAATTACCGCGAGCACATTTTCCAGAGATTCCTTGTTTCCCTTGTGATTTATTTCCTCACAAATTAACATAGAACCCCGATTCCCACAGGAGTTTCCTCGACAAATAGTGGTGTGTTGGGTTCCATGTTAATCTGCAGGGTGGCCAAAAGTTCCCAAAAGAGGGCGTACCATCTTAACTTATATCAATGACCTTTACTGTGAATGATGGAAACAATCATTGGAATCCTAGTTTTAGGCTTTAAGGTTGGCCAAGTCATATCCCAAACTGGCAATGTTTGGCGGGTGGTCGCAAGGGGTCTAAGTGGTGGTCTCCAAATGTTCCCTTTCACAAAAGCAGCGAAGGAGCTACCAGGAGTTCTGTCACCATGCTCATGGACCCCTCTTAGGGAGACCCCCGCCCCTCGCCCTGAATCAATTCCTTTTTGAAGGGCCCGGGGCAGTCGTGAGCGTTTGGGCAGGTAGATTTCGACGATCAACGAACGATGGCTTGCTTTGAGGGTACTGTTTTTTTGTTTGGTTTGACAATTTTCAAGGGAAGCCATACAATAAGTGGGTCTTGCTTCGAGGGTATCCAGAATTGGATGATTGGAATAGGAAACCAAGAGGAACACCGCTGGCGGTTAAAAAGCTTGACTGCTATTGGGTTGGATCTTTAGACTTTAACTTTTTGGTTGAAATCAAGTTGGTTTTCTACTAAACCCCAATGTTTTGCAGGGGGGTCGTTGCAGCAACCAAGAAAGAAACCCTAAACCCTAACCAATACACCGCCCGATGCCCAGCCTGTCCCATGCCAGCGCCTTTGAGGCTCTCCAGCAGCGTGCAGGATGAGGAAGCGTCGCCCACGGAGCGATCCCGCAACCGGGGGGGGATGCCTGGGGTCCCTACAGGTCCCGTTGCAGCCGGTCTAACCATCACCTCACTTGTCCGAAGCGAATCGACCTTTTCGCCCTTTGGTTTAGACCATTCTAGACCTGATTTGATCCATGTCTAGTCATGGCCTCAAAAAGTGAGCCATGGTGGAGGCTTCGAAACTGAAGCGGATGTGTTGGAAAGGTCGATTTTTCCTCCCGGCGCATTTGCTGCCAGAAATCAGTTGGATCCCCCCAGAAGGGACGCGCGATGGCGGGTTGCTCACTCGCAAAGCGAATCGACCTTCAACTATGATCATACTCGAAACGACGAGATCACAGCACCCTTGGTCAACCAGTGCGTCCAGGATTTCGTTTGTTGGGAAGTGATCCAAAGCGTGGAAACCCAGTTGAACTACGTCAAAGCCGACATCTCAACGACCTGTCAATTCTTAACCCCAATTCAGACTGGGGTGACCGTTTTTATTGGGGTGAACCATCTCAATTGCGCCCACTTGCCCAAAGCAACTCGTCCTTCTAACCTCTGGGTGTTCCCATGCTGGTCCTTTTGTTTCTCATTCTATCAGATCAACCACGTGTGTCCAAGTCCTTGAACCCTGACCAGTGAGGCGAAACACACCTTGGGCTTAGCACTTGGATCTGCGGACCTCTCCGACGGCCGGGGGGGGGGGGGCTTGGGAAGATCAGCAGGAGATGCCGGTTCCCACGGAGCTGCCCTCGCCTACCTCTCCGGCTGACGAGGCCGGCGGTTCTGCGGTAGTAGACGTGTTTGTGTGTGTATACATGTGAAATTATGTGTATGTATATATATATATATGTGTGGGTGTGTGGGTGGGTGGGTGGGTGTGTGGGTGTGTGGGTGTGTGGGTGTGTGGGTGTGTGGGTGTGTGGGTGTGTGGGTGTGTGGGTGTGTGGGTGTGTGGGTGTGTGGGTGTGTGGGTGTGTCGGTGTGTGGGTGTGTGGGTGTGTGGGTGTGTGGGTGTGTGGGTGTGTGGGTGTGTGGGTGTGTGGGTGTGTGGGTGTGTGGGTGTGTGGCTGGGCATGTGTGTGTGTGTGTTTGTGAAGGTTTTGAGGCTGGGTGCCTTTGTTTGTGTGTGGTTTTAAAGGGAGCCCAAAAGGACCACCGAAGCCATTTGGGGCGTCCAAGTTCTAGTTTCTGCTTTTGGTCGGGAAACCGAAGGGAGCCGGAGTTTGGTCGGATCGAAGTAGAAAACATCCTATTAGTGGGGCGTCACCCGCAAAAGTGGTGTCTGAGGTTTCCAGTTGAAGGGCGCACCACCCCCACCTCAACCAGGGGTTTTCTGCATCCAGTTCACTTTGTTTTTTTTCGGTTTCCCAAAAACGGGTTTTCAAAACCTGTTGGGCTTCTCTTTCTGGTATCACCATGTTTTGGTCGAGGTGCTAAAAGGAAATATAGATATATATATATATATAATATATATATATATATATGTTCCAGGCCGTGGACCCCCCAACGCTGTTGGGGGGGGGGGGGGGGGGAGGGGGTTGGGGGGTTGGGGGGGGGGTTTGGGTTTGTTTGGGGTTGGTTTGGGGGTGGGGTTTGTTTAGGGTTGGCTTGGGGTTTGGTTTAGGGTTGGTTTAGGGTGGGTTTAGGGTGGGTTTAGGGTGGGTTTGGGCTGATTTTAGGTTCGGTTTAGGGTGGGTATAGGGTTAGTTTAGGGTTGGTTAACGGTTGGTTAAGGGTTGGTTTAGGGTTAGGGCTAAGTGTTAGGGGTGTAGGATTGGTTTAGGATGCAAGGGTGCGACTCGAGGAGGGTCTGGGGGACCGTAGCAGCGGGGTGCTTGGGGTTGGGCGGGGGGGCGGGGGGAGTATCCTACCTTGGGGGCGAGGGGGGGGGGGGGGTTGGGGTTGGTGGCCTGGGGACTGCAACATATATAGCCGGTGCTTCCAGGCAAGCAACTACAATAGGAGAATAGGGGAAACGATCCATGGTAAAACCTGGCCCTATAGTGTTTCTGCCAGCATTGGCTCGCCTTTCATTTTCCAGGTTCTTCAGGCAGGTGAGGGGATAAAGCGAGCTCACTCTCGATGAAGTTTCGAGTTGTTTTTTTGGCCGGCGAAGTATTGCAATTGGTGCAGATGGAGTGCGCTTGGCGTTTGTTTGGTTGGATGATTGACTTTGCGTGTTCTCCTTTTTTTCGGAGTAGTTACGTGTATGTTTCCCAACGCTTCAACTCGTGTTTTTGCGCGGGAAGTAGCCACCAAGTGTAAAAGCCGTTGAGGGGTCCAAAAGGGGACCTCTTCACAAACCCATTCCCAGACATGCTTCTGAGCAAATCAGCAGGGAATTGTTTTGCCGGAAGTCGATGAGAGGCTTCCAAGTACCGGACTGGTGTTTTGTTGTTTGATAATCATTGATAATCCTTGCATGTTAATATGGAACCTAACAAACACTCTCATTTGAGGAACACCCTTTTGCGGAAACATGCTAGTCTTCAATAGAACTGCGCCTTGGATCTTCTGTACTTCTCTCGGGTTGTCCACTGAACCAGAGAGAGATACACTTTGGTTCAGAGGCTTCTTGGTACAGAAAACGAGGTCGGTTTTAGAACGCGCAACGGTCGTTTTCTGGGCTCACTGGTTGACAGGAGGGAGAGACGATTGCCACGGCGTCTCTGCCTACGGCGTCCTTAAGGTGGGCGTCGGTTTGTGTTTTGGGGTACGGCCCCAAACTTGTTAATGTTGACCCCAACTCCTGTTTATTGATAGGGGGTGGATTTAGTTGGGAATCAGACGATGCTTCTGAGAGGAGCACCCGCCAAGAATTAGCTGGGGTTGATTAGTACGGGGTCAACATCATCACTGGGGGAACTGGCGTGATGGTCCCCTTCCCATGGTTATGCCTAAGCTTGACCACCCCAGTGGGTTTGTGTTTTGGGGTTGCACGCTGCCTGAACCCGTTTTGCAGGCCTGCAACACTGCAAACCAATAAGAGTTGTGTTTTTTGAGGTGGATTCTCTTTGGTTGGGGATTTGAATCAACCCCAAAAAAGGGCACGCTCAAAAACAACCCACAAGGCCATGTCCAATGTGTTTTTTCTTAGAGGTTACCGTTTTCCGGATAGCTCAAAGGGAAACCAAGGAGAGAACACAATTATGGGTGTTTCCGGTGTTCTCCTATTTTGACCCATACCCTAGCGTGACAGGATCTTGATGCGGGCTCCGTGTCGAAGGTTACCGCGGGATTCCCGAGAAAAAATGCAGAAATTCTACAAAGCAGTTGGCCCAAATGGGCGACGCCCGAATTTTCAAGGGAAGTTGGCTGCTTCTTTCATCCGCGACCCCTTCCTTTGTAGGGCTTTTGCGTGGGTAAAATCTAAAGGCGCAAAGCCAAGAATCATGCGGTCGCTTTTCCAAGTTGGAGCCCAAGTCGCAAGGGTGTTCGACGAACCTCTATGGTGTGTCTTTTTTAGACCCCCTGAAATGGCTTCAGTTTTCCTTTTAGCTTCCCTTTAAACAACTTCAAAAAGGGCACCCTCGAAAAAGGCACATCCATCTGGAGTACTGATAGGCGTTTCGAGTTGGAAAAGTCCCAACGACGGGCACCAAACCAGCTCATCACAGGCCTTGCTGGTCCTCCAGAGTCACAGACGGGACCTTTTATGGTTTGAACAGATAGCCGGCCCAGTACAGACACTCAAGCCCTTCTTTGTTGGCGCAGAGCTTTGGGGGAAACAGCAGAGGTTGTAGAGGCGAAGGGCTTGAGAGTTTCTTTTTCCCCCGCTGTACTGGGCAGATCAACCCTGTTTTCACAGCTCGATTCGGCGTGTTGGACGCCTAGATGTTCCAGGTCATGTTGGTTTCCCAAATTGGGTACTGGTTTTATCAGTTGCAAGAGTTGTCCCCTTTTTCCCAGCAAGCGCAAGCGTGGACAAGGCACCTGCGCAAGAGGATGGAAGTCTTCAGAAATCCGATCTTTTATGTTTGAAGTTTGGAGATATGGAAAGCTGTTCTTTCCCTTTGGACAAGAAGCTACTTGAGCCGCAATCAAAGCCCGGGCAGATGAAGATCAAGGGATATGTAATCCGATGGAAAATGATTGAAGCATGGTTCTGCGTACACAATTTTAGTGCCGATCAGTTTTGATTGCAGCTCACTTGACCTTTGCCCTTTGATTTGGGGTTACCGTCCCGATTCCCGCAGGCGGCCTGCGCGCGAAGTGCAGGCGGGGCGCATGAATCTCAGGCCACCTGTGGCCGAAGGAACTCGACGGGAGATGAGCTTTTAGTTTCCCCGTGGTAGATGTTTAGAGGTTCCAAACGGTCACTTTGTTTTTTTGAAGCCCTGCAAGTCTTTAAGCAGGGGGGGTTGCTTTGAACTCGAGGAGAAAACCAAAACTGGCGCTGCATATGGCCACAGGGAACCGGCGCCAGATAGACTTTTACCTGGGTGTGGGTTTCTCTTCATCGAAAGGGGGGGTTCCCTGGGTTGAAGTTGACCTTGGGATTAAAATAACAACAACGGGGACCTGGTTCCTGGGGTAGACTTAGGACACATTTTACGTTTTGCCAGTGGCTCAAAGTGAAGCAAACAAACAAATATACATTCTATATATAACTAACTGGGCCCAACTCGAATCCTGGAATGTTTGGTTTGTCGCTTCTTCTTTTTGTCCCCCACATCTGAAAGCTATGGGCCATGGGTGTTTTTTTGCGCGCATAGGCGATATGGGGTGGTCCGCCCATCTATTGGGTCATTTCGCCCAACCATGGAGTTGAAGTCCCGGTTCTTCGCGGCCTGAAGGCGTTGATGGCGCAAGCCGAGGGAAATCAGCAGTCAACTTGGTGCGATAGGTACGGAATGGCCCAGGGGGGTGTGAATGAGTCGTTTTGGGATTCCCTTAAAGAAAACCCATAGGGGGCAATGATGCATTTTAGAGTTGGTAAACCAGGACAGCTCCAGTGAACAGCCATGAACAAGGATCGCCCTCCAGAATGATTTAGATGTAAACTATCCTTGCACATGATGTTCACCACATGGTCCCCAAAAGCTCATACCCACATAGGTACGGGCCATCCTGTCCACGTCGTACGGGCTTTCCCACCAGTTGGCCACAGCTCAGTTCGCTGAGCATGCGCCATGGGCCTGCGCTTCGGCGTCTGCCTGCGTTTTGCCTGCTGGCCTATTTGACCCAAAAGCGCGATGGGACGCTTTCCGTCAGAAGCTGTGACGCGGTGATGCTGCGTTTGCGTTTGTTTCATCTTTTTGTCGAAGTGAAGCAAAACAATTTGGCACCCTTTGTCCAATGGCCACTAGTCTCCTGTCCTGTGTGGTTTCCAGTTTTACCCTCATAGATTTTGAAGGATTCGGTGGTGTTCCTAATTTGCCAGGTGTCCCCCCCCCCCCTTTTACCATTGCTTTGATGTGTTCCTTGGCTTTCCACTAAGAGATGTCTCTCATTCACCAAACAATCCATGACCCCTCTACCCCTTCTTCCCCTCCTCCCCCCAAATTGGGTTCGCCAGGAGCCATTGGCGCGGGCCGAGAAAGCAAGAGAAACACGTGAAAAATACCTCTTAGATACCAAGTACCCCAGGGCTCCTTAAAAGATCTCCAATTTTTGCAACCATCCATTTGAAACATGGCTGGCTTTTTCCACCAAAATAAGGGGAAGCCACCATTTACAAGTGGCAATGTTCAGGTGTATAATGTAAGGATCCCTGTACCCTCCCACCAATTAGCATAGAATCTGAGAGGCTCCCTGTCAGCTTCCATGCTAATTGGTGGGCTGAGGCTCTCTTTCCGCAAGGTCAGAAAGAAGGCTTTTGCCAAGATGTCTGGGACTTGAACTGGTTTGACATGTTTAAGGCTTAAGTTGAAAGACAATAGTCGTTTGCACAATATGCTTGGGCAGAAACGGTAAATGTAGCCTGGTCTAGATGTAATGCCGGATCTAAGTAGAACCCCTGGTTGATGGACAGGGGATGTATTCAGGGCACCACCGGAAGGGAACACCCCTTCATTCGTAGATTTGGTTTTTTCCCCCAACAAAAGCCATGGTGTCTCTGCCCAGATAGGCGATCTAAGGGGTGGTTTGGGAGCTTGGCAGCTTTCAGGGAGATTCGGTTCTGGAGATTCGGTTCCAAAGGGTGCCAGGGCGTCCCGATACCTGGGTTTATGAATTTGGGTGTACCAACACACCACTTGAGCCACGTGCTCAAAACCGATTCGGGATCGATGAAGGTTAGTAAGGGCCAGTCCCAGCCAGAAATAGTTGCGGAATTCCGCCTTCTTAATTCTTTACATGGTTCTGGGTAGACCATTTTAGGACCGGGTTTTGATTGTGACTCGCTTCGCCCAGGATGGCCTTCTCTGCCCTGTCACCTTCGGCCTTCTCGCGCCATGCAAATTGGCTGGTGCCTGGGCAACTGATGGTGCCTTGGACATGTCTAAGGGTGATTTGGGCCAGGGCTTGTGGGGTTTGTGCTTAGGTTTGGCTTTAAAGTATTAAGTATGGCTTGTCCTGGGGCTTTTGGTTAGGTTTGACTTTCAGAGTACAGCTTACCCAGCTGCAGTGCTTCCACTTACCACTGTAGTGGCTAGCCACGCGGTCTTTGCCTGTAGGTTTACCATTGACTTTTCCTGGTTACCTACTGGAAGCTCTTGGTTAGGGTATGCGTGTGTGTAGGTTGTGTGTTTTCAATGTCAGCTGGGCTTGCCGACTTCTTCATTTCAGGTGGGCCGGTACCCATACGTCAATCCGGTGTACTGTGACCAGCTGGAGGAGGCTGAAGCACACTTGGCAGCGCTCTTGGAGGACGGGGAAAAGACTCCGACCAAGACTCAGAACCGGACCCCAAAAAGAAGACCAATACTGCCCCAAACTTCAGGGTGTCCTCCATATCCAACCTCCAAAAGCTGGCAGTTTTAGTAGCAACCGTCCGCAAAATCCAACTTTTGAAAGAAACAAAATCCAGTGACCCCCCCATTTCCGACCAACCATCCAGTGACCCCCAGATTTCCGGCCCAGGGCTTCGCAGGTTTTCTGGGCGCCGCAAAACGGGCGGGGGCGGAGTTGGGGCGGAGTCGTCTGAGGAGGCAAAGGTGAGCACCTTCGTGTGCCTGCAGTCGGAGCTGCCAGACCAAGTCGCAGGCAGACCGACGGCGTCCGATGGTCTCCGGCGGCTGTTAATTTGTGTATATATATATATATATATGTATCTAGTGATTCAGGTACCTCTGAATTGGGTTGGATTGGTGACCTGGCTCTTGCAGGGGCTTCCGCCATCTGTTTGCGTTCCAAGTTGGACCGTGTTGTCTACCCACAAAACGTAAGGCAGAACAACCAGAGGCCCATCAGGAGTCCAGGTGGGTTGGTGATTTGCGTGACGTGCTTGGTTTCCAGCATTTTTGTTTCCCATCCAGTGATTCCAGTTCCCTGTAGTAGGGTAGCCACGGTAGCCCTTCACATGCTACCGCTTACTTGGGGAGGACGGTCAGTCTGACCATGGCCCACAATTGTGGAGTGTCACATATATTTTATTCATTGATGAGAAGATTCAGGACCTTCCCCCCAATATTTTTGCTCTCCAAATGTCTAGCGAAATCGTCAAACCAAATGGTTGGCGGGGGGGGTCCTCGGCAACCTCTTTGGTTTCTCTTTGACTGGAGCTTGTGCCTGTTATGTTGTCCCAATCGATTTACTTCCGCGAACGGTGGGATCAAAGCCCAGCTCCGTGGGGCATTGCTACATATCAAAATTCAGAATATATACATACATGCATTGTGTTGCACTGCACTGCACATTCCATGCACATACATACTTTCACACATACAGATCTAGTTGACTCTTTTGCAACTGTGTCCCGTGTTTTGGCTGCCTTCTCCGCCGTTCTTTGGGCAGTCTCAGGCGATTGGCCCGCGCGGGGCGTGCCCGTCCCCGGCTTCCCCGGCCGATTCCTGCGCTACGCGGACGCAGCCCGGCAGGTGGCGAAGACGGAGCTGTGCTTCCTGCACGCACCGGTGCCGGATTTGAGCCTAGGCCAACCCGGGACTGCCATGTACCCCCCCTTGATTGACCTTAGGCTTTCTTGTTGGATGTGAGCTGAAAGAGCTTGGTTGGTGCCGTTTTTGGGTTGGTCTCAAGGCATTCTGGGAGGGAGGCTTCGTATTTTCAGGCGCCCTGCTCCGAAGACAAGGGCTAGCCTTTCAAGTTGGGTTTGTCTCCAAAAACTGTGGACACTGTTTTCGAAGACATGTTAAACAAAAAGCAGCAAACACGAGTCAACCACCAACCAATGCGAAGTTACCCAGGATGATTCTGGAGAAGCGCCCCGCGGTGTTTTTCTTGAACAATTCAACCAAGGAGCACGCCGCAAGTGTCAGCTCTGCGGGGTCTTCTGGATGACCTCAAGACAAGGAAAGGGGGGGTTGCAAGTTGCAGGCCGCTTGCTTCGAGTGGGAGTACTGTACATAGGTCTGTGTGTGCATGCGCGTTTGTTTCCTATAATTAGGGCACCCTCTCTAGCTTGATTTGAAGGGCAACGGGGAAAGCCCCCGCTTTTGGGGTTGCTTATTTTGACATAGCAGAGACCCCTTGGCTTCCTCCTTTTTTCCGGGACCCGGAAGCCGGGAGAGGGGTATGAACCTCAGTCTGGGTGTTTTGGGGACATTCGCCGGAAGGGGTATGCAAAAGGGGTGCACCCACAGATTCGACACTTACCAACTTGTAGGCAGTGTGTTTCTGTGGAGGTGTCTCTTGCTGATCTTAAACTAAAGGTACCACCGCAGAAGGCCACCCACAAACGATCCAGACCTGCCGTTTCGCTGGCAGCCTGGCCTGTCGACTGGATGCACCCCGTCAGGATGGACAGAATCAGAAGGCTCTCATGAACGAACTCCTTTGAGCTCTCCAGAGCTTTCAAGGGTTTTTTTTCCCCTTTTGCGTTTAAAGGGAATCTATCACACTCCTGGATATATGTGTTTTCTTTTCTTTGTGGGAACTTCAGTAAATAGAGGTTTTCATGTGACACTCCATAAGCCAGGATTGACAGAGGCGAGGTGGTGTACCTCCATTGCTGGGGAGGCCGTGGTCGCAGTGGCGTGGTGGGCGCGTGCTTGCTGGGCCACATGTTTCCGAAGCTGCAGCGCGGTCGCACTGGTAGCCTTTGAGTCACTTCCAGCTTTTGACTTATGAAAGTGTTGAGGTGTCGCTTCCCTCTTACTTAGGGTACCGAGGTTGGAATCTATTGCCCCAAGAACCAAAGGACGCTTTGAGGCCCTCAAATTTTGCAACAGCTCAGTTGGCAAACCCTTTTGTAGGAAAGTCCCAAGCCGCAAAATTGGCCAAAGCGTATTGACCTGGGATCTCAGAGCGTATTGGCCATGGACCGGACCGTGTCCATACCCCAGAGTCACACAGAAACGTGTTTCCCAATGAATCGGAGCGGGGTTGCTTTGATCTATACTACAATTGACATGATTAGAATGAGGTGCTTGTGCTTTTGAGGCAAATTTGCCCACGATCGTAGGCTTCGAGAAGTTGTTTTGCTCTAGTAGAAATGTTTAGATTTCACATTTTTCAGATTCCCCCACAAGTGCTTTGGGATTCGCGGCTTGGGGACTTGAACGCCTGGTGGTTGTTCTGGGAAGCCACCCCCGGAGCACCGCCAAATGATCGGGCTCCAAACCAGAAATTTGAGGGAACCAGATGTGTTTGGTCCCTGGAAGGACCTTGTCTTCGGAGAGCAAGCACATTCAGCAGTCATTTCCATCAAGTGTGTGTTTTCCTTTTGGTTTCAATCAGTGGTGGTCAAAATGGGGCAAACCAAAAAGTTCCTCTTTTCCATTTGCTGTTTTTTGCTGTTGTTTTTTCTCGGGGCTGCAGTGAGGACAGGGGAGGAGTCTCTGCGTTTGGTGCAAGAGGGCTATACCAGCAGAGGCGATCCACTGGACAGCGGGACCTTCGCTCGATCCCCTCAGACCGAGGAGCAGCGCGACTTTGTTCGCACGTGGTTCGCGCAGCGGAAAAAGAGCAGCGCAGCCTTTGTTTTTTGACATTTGCAGTGGACGGTAGACACAGACCTGGTTGGATCCTGAGTTCGAGGTTCTTTGGTTGGCATTTAAAGCCTTCCTTTTTTCCCCCAAACACTCCGTGCAGGCGTATTTGCCCACGTTTGCCTTCCAAACAGGTCAACAGTTGGTGTGTATTCAGAATATTGTAGAACCTGCACGGTGTGTGTGTGTGTGGATATTCGAGGCACTTTAGACTTGTAGGGTTTAGTTTTTCCACTTTTAGGGTTGAACCCTCTCGCAAACGAAGGCGCGCACCGCGCATGCCAGGAGACGCCTCTGCCGTTGCAGAGTGCAATGCCTTGGCCCTGGAGTCTCCTCCTAAACATTGTTAGGGTAGACAACATATGAGCCTTTTTGGACCCTTGGGTACTTTGAGAACCCTTTTTGGGCCCTTGAGTAAATGCTCACAAATGACTTGGCCCCCCGATTTGATTTTGCCCCTTTCAGCCAGCAAAGACTGGTCACGTGTTGCGGATCCGTCGGAGTTGGGCACGGCTCGAGGCCTGCAAGTAGCCAACTGGACGACGACTCCCCGTCGGAGATGCCGGGATCCTTAGCGCTTGTTGGCAGACACTCACTCACTCCCTGAGTTCATGGACTTCCAAGTTTCTGGGAAGACCATTTTGGTGGTAATCAAAGGTTCAGACTTGTTTGGGCCAGTCCGCTCAAGTGCGGATGGGGTCAGTACGTAAAGGGAAGCGAAGAACAAAACCTTGGTTTGTTTGTTGGAGGATGTTCCCATGTCAAAACGGGATCTTGACTTGCTGGGTAGGCGGGCCCTTGGATTTGCTTGGCTTAGGAAACAGGGTGCTGAATACATTTGTTTGACCGTGACCTCATCGTTTTCCAAAATGCAGAGATGCTGGCGGAATCAAGGAACATCCAATAGGTGCAAAACTTGGGCAGATGCAGTTTAATATCACCGTTGCAGGTATTGTACCAAAGTACCAATTCTCATCAGAGGAATCCCCCCGCAAATGAACAGATTCCGCGCCAAAGGGGAACCACACTGGAATGTTAGTATGGCCTTCAGATTGCTCCGGAATCGACGTTAGTAGGGTATGGTTCCAACCATACATGGGTCCGGCAAGAAGCTCTTTTGATCTGTTTCGTCTAGACTCCTTGAGTTGTTGGTGTCCATTGTGATTGCGACGTTTTGTGGTTAGTGTAGCATGACACACGCTTGCTTTCTTGTACAAGCCACTCAGGAAGTGGGCCGTCCAGGAGGCTTCTTCACTCCTCTTCGGACGATAAGAACTCTGAGCTCACCCATGGCGGCTAAATCAAAACTTCTCTTTGGAAGATAAGACTCTTTGGACTTTTTGAGCTCGCCGGTGGCAGGTAAACAAAATATTCGAGCGATTCCAGCCCTGAAGGCTTGACGTTTGTTGAGTAGTCATTGGTCCAGACAGTTGGTTTGGACACCCAAGCCATGAAGACACAAACAAAAGCACGGGGGTCGGATTTTGGGGATGGCTATCCTGGCTGCAATGTGTTTCCAGGCACTGAAAGGGTCCAACTGATTATGATAAGACAGAGGGGTGCTGTTAAACCAAACTATCTCATGATCAAGAGATAGTTTTGTTGGACAATCAGCTCTTAGTAGAATGTTGAGAATCACCCATTTGACCAACGATTTGCGGCGTGCGTTGTTGGTTTCGAAGGTTTTCTTTGTTTGACCTTCTGAGGCCGGTACCGACAGAGCAGCCATCGCCAACGTCCCCGGCAGATGAAGATGAGGAGAGTTGGGTGCAGTTTGCTTACTTTGTCCAAGCAGGGATTCCTTGCTGCTCTTTGATTTTGCCCAGAGCTACCTTCACCCTTGTTGAGATGAACACCTCGGTAGAACACTGGCATTGCGGTGCCGTTCCTTGTTCAGGGATCAAGCTTCAGCCCTTGTGCCATAGGCTTTGCACCCTGTAAGCTGACTTGTTGTGAAATGGCTAGTGCCTCAGCTCAACGCGATCCGCTTTTTGCATGAGACTTTGAGCCGGCCGCAACTTCGGACCTCGAAAAGGTTTGCTTACCCAAGACCTGGGAATCCAAGGAGGGACGATTGTTCTCGCCGATCGGAAACGGTACCACGTTGAAGCACTTGGGTTGCCGGTTCATCTTTTGGGATGACAATCAACCCTGCAACACGGTCTGACATGGTGTGGTTGACCTTTCTCAAACTGGCCGTGGGTCAACACCAGCGGTACCATTTTGGGGTAGGTGAATTCACCACCCATTTTAACATCTATTTTAGTGGTTGGATTGGAATGTTCACTGGGGGCTAACCGATTTGGGTTTTGACCCATAGCCAACTGAGTCCCCGAAAAGCACTTCATGATTCCTGAAGATACACCAAACACGGTGTGACCCCGGTCTCAGGAGCTGGCAGATCCCCACCCCCTTCAAAATGGACTTGGGGGAGGGTGAGCCCTGGAATTCCATGTAGGGTTCCATTTTCCCTTTTGTGAGGGAAGACTGAAGAATGGAGTTGTGGGACCCCCCCACCCCCCACCCCCCTCCCCCTTAAGGCAGGGGGGAAGCTGGCAGAGTCAGAGATCTCAAGCTCCCCCTCGGTCCAGCAGGGACCCTCTGGTTTTTGCCGTTCTTTCCTTTCACGCTCTTTGCTAGCGGATCTTTGCACTTCAACTTTTTGGGAAACAGGTCAGAATTTCCATAGCCACATAAAGTCTTCAACTTTTGGCAGTGGGTTCAACAGCAACCAAGATCTTGCAATACATGTTGTTGGTCAAGTTTCAGCATATTTTTGTTTGGGGTGAGCTCGCCTGGGGCCCTTTATTTTTGGGACCCTGGTGACATGTCATTTGAGTTTCGCTTCTAAAGGGGTCTGAATCGGGGGGGATTGACAACCTGATATGTGAGGAACCGCCGCATCTAAATTCCCCGGGAGGGGTTAATATCCTGTCCACCCTCACTCTGCAATCTAGGATTGGTGAATGCGCTGAAATCACGTCGTTTCTTTCCACAGATACTGGAAACTGATCATTGCCATTTGGCTGAGGTTTGGTGACTTTGACACATGGGTGTGGCTCAAAATTAAAGAGCTAGGGTTGCGCGGTTTTAGTCTTTGTTGCCTTTTACCAGGGTTCCATTTTGGGTACCCATTTTTGACCCTCAGCCACATGCTCCTCTCATGCCAGCGAGTAATTCGAGCGTCCACCAATGAGTTGGGCTCTGTCCGAAGCGAAGCCGAGGACGACATCGACGAGCTTCCTGCGGCGCGGATGGGGGATGTGCAAGACGAGCCGTTTTTTTTTTCACTCCGAAGCTCAGCAAGGCACCAGGTCAGAAAGGTTGGTAGAAGGGGATCGTCTTGCTTCATACTTCGAGTCCGAGGTTCTGGGACTCGACCCTTTAGAGCAACCCATCCAGTCCAATCCGGAAGGGTTGCAGTCGCAAACCACAAGGACGGGGATGGGGCACGGTGGATGGACTAAATCCACAGCGTTGGGATGGATGAAGCCCTATGAGCGCTGGGATAAACCACCTATGCGGAGTAGGAATATGTCTATATGTAAGAATGCTTGGGGAAAGGATAGGTTGTCGATGACAGCAAAAAGCAAATAATCGTCATAGAGCTATTCTTGGGTGTACAAGATTTATTTCAGGACTCGAGGGGTTGAATGTGGGTTCTTTATTGGAGGGTCCGGGCGTGTGCATTGGAAGGATCTCTTGACCCTTGGAGAGGGTACGTACGGTTGACGTACGGTTGTGTCCCTTGCTGAGGCCCATGTTTCTAAGACGGTTTCGACTACCCCCAAACCGCAGCGACCTGGGCCCGCGGGGGAATTGGAAGAAAACCTTTGATAGTGGTTTAAATACTGACTGTCCAACTAGATCCTTGCGGGTAGTGGTTTGGGAGAAGTAGAAACCATCTCAGAGTGCTCTTCCCAAAAAGAGCCAGCAACATGCTTCGTCAGCCAAATGCGGCGGAAATGTTTGCACCAGTTGGACCAAGCCTGCGTGGAGTGGTTGTTTGGATGTGCTTGTCAAGGATGATGTGCTAGGAAAGCTTAGGCCTTGAGTTCCTGGATTTTAAACCTTTTGGGAAGACCGTTTTAGTGGTACGGAAAAAGGAGGACTTTTCTGGCCAATCCACTCAGGAAGTGATGAAAGGTACCTTCCTCGAAGCATAGAAGCGTACGGGAAAGCCCTTTTTCCCTTTTGGAAAAGGGTCCTAAGAAGGCTTCTTTGGAGCCCAACTGGTTGCAGAGGAAGTGGGAGACACAGCCTGTCGCCAGCTGCTGGCCTTTGTAATCCGAATGCCGGCGTAGGCATTTGGTTGCCCTGAGTTGCTTTTGAGGAAACCAAACCAAAAGAACCTAAGGTAATTACTCCCCTAAAGTGAGGCGTCCGCCACGTTGAGACTTGTTTCTTGGTTGCCCGACTTCCATAGATACAGGGCTAGGCTAGTTGGCTGGATCTTTAGACTTTTGCATTTTGATTGAAACGAGGCGACTTTTCCCGCCAAACAGGAAACAATTGGTCACAACTTGCACGGGATTGATTGAGCCATCCAGACGGGACCTTTTGAGTGGCTTTTTGTTTGAACTTCTTCCCCGTCAACACAAACCCAAAGGTATGTTTTTCCCCCACCCCGCTGACGGCACCCAGTAAACTCTTTTCAGTGTGCAGTTTTCAGTTTCAGGAGCTGTTTTAATAGCCAGGCCACCTACAAACAAAGAAACGGCCGGGTGCAAAGTGGGGGGTTGGTTCAAAGTGAAACAAAGGGAAAACCACTGAAATGGTGGGTTTTCCCCGAAGACGTATCCTGTTAGGTGGTGTCCCACAGATGTGCCAGCAAAGATGCACGTCTTTTTTAGCGAAAGCAAACCTGGAGTATTGAACCAACGTCATAGACTATAACTATGTTTGTAAGTGGGGTAACTCGGGGTGATTGTTCCCTTAGAACCACGGTCAGACCCGTACTTCCATTTTCACGACGTTGGTTGAACATCCAAGCACAGAGGGTTGGGATACAGGACATTCTGCAGGAAAACAGGTCTTGGGGGCGATTTCCTGAAGATTTCCCTGCAACCCAACCAGGCCTTTGACAACAACTGGGGGTTTCTTGACGTGAGCAACTTGCTGCAGCTTTGCAGGTCCCGATCTCAGCCATGTCAGAGGCAAGCTCGGCCTGGGGCCCTGGCTGACGTCTTCAGGTCCCAGTCCCTGGGGCTTTTGAGCCGTTCTTGGAGGAGGGAACCGCGGATAGAAGAGTTGCTGTAACATGGGCTTGACTCGCCCCAAACACTGGCTCATAGCGAATCTTCCTTTTCACATCCTTGGACCTTTGGTTGCCCCTTTGGGATCCAAATGATCAATTACCCTTTGGTTTTTGGGTCCTTGGAGCACGTGAGCCACCAAGCTCAAGGTTCCGGTGCCCACGCTGGTGCCCACGCAGACAGCGACCTCCATTTCCACAGCCTCTGCGGGAGGGGTGCCGGGAAGCCCGTCAAGCCCTCGCGGCCCGCGGTGCGGGTTTTGGGGGGTCCCTGGTGGAAGAATACCTGTGGCTTCCTGGCGGGTACATTTTTCTGCTGTTTGGTTAAAGACATGTTTCACCAAACGCCAAAAAAATGTACCCTCCGGAGGTCGCAGGTATGGGTATGATCTTTAGTGGATTTTACCCCTGAAAAGTGGTTGGACACACGTGTCCCCCACCGACGCAATGTCCACCAAGCGGCACGAAAGGAACCTTCAGTGGTGCCCCTTTTTTCCTCGGGGGGGGTTCCCTTAAAACACACATACAACAAAAACACCGAAGAGTGAGGCGTTGTTTTTTTTCCCATGGCCACTGGGCGACTGGTGTGTATGTTTGTTGAGGGTACGTCTTTCTGGGTTTGTTAAAAGGGAATCCTCAATAGCAACCACCCATGCTGGGGCCCTCCTATTGTGAGACAAGCTGGAGGGTGTCCCGTTTTCGAGGGGAACCTGCCATTTGGAGGGCAACACCGATTTTAGGCGCCATGTGATTCTCTCTGTGTCTCTCTCCTTCTCTCATTCTGTCTCTCTCTATCTCTTTGTCTCTATTTCTCTCGCTCTCTGTATCTCTCTCCCAGATCGCATGTTCCTAAGTTTGTAGACTCGTTCCTGGAAAGGCTCACACATTTTCTCAGCGTGCAGAGGGTTGGTGATTTGGCAAGCATCATTTGAGCAGAATAGTTGGGTACACCACCACTCAGTTCGCTTCGGGAGGAGGTCGGGCCCGATTTCCCGACAAACGCCACGGGGTCCAACGTCTGGAGGCCGACGATCGTGGAGGCCGTGGACGAGGGCTGACTGAACCTGAATGAGGGTTCCTGCTAATTAGAGGAAAATAATATACCTGGGGGGTCCCTTGCAGGTTCCATGTTTGTTGTTGGGATTGTAAACTGATGGTGGCAGAACAGATGTGGATGATAGATCTGGGAATGAACAATGGCAAAGAGCAGGCTTGCATGTGATTGACACAGTTCGTTCACATGTGCAACTGAACAGCGCTCTCTGTAAGCCTATGACCTGCACACTATCTTGAAATTCCGAACTTTGCCCACGGCGTGTGGTGATCACCACCCCAAGAGTAATGTTAAGGCTTATACCGGTGATTGGCTGTTTTCTGAGGGCTTCCCTTAAGGGATTCACCCAATTTGTTTACGTCCAACTTGGGAAGTCGTTTCGTCCCGGGGACATTTTTACAAGCGGCTTCCCTTTGCGCCAGGAGGCGCCTCCCTTGATGGAGAGCGCTTTGCTACCGCCGGAGGCCCAGATGTTGGTGGCACCTGTCGGTGGCCATTTGCGACTGCGGAGATGTTTCTGGGGGGCGCATAAGACTTGTTGGGTCTCAAACTTGGGGGATTCGAGAACCGGCAGGGTTCCTTTTGGTTTCCTTTTAAGCCAATCTGAAGGGTGCCCCCAAAATGCCCATTAGTCTTCCAAGGACCCTGCAAAGCAGTGTTTCTTCTGTTTGATCCGGCAAAGGCCAGCTTCTGCCAGGGGTCAAAGTACACATCAAGATTGCTTGTACAGGTTTCATGGGCAAAAAAACATGTTGAGAGGTTCTCCAGATCTCTTTTCATGGTGGCTTCCCTTTGCAACAGTTGGGAGCGCCGCTTGAAAAAGTGTTTGATCCGGGGAATACAAAGGAAGCCCCACTCACGGTCTCGGTGGGGCTTGCCGAGGCCAGACTCCGCCTTTTCGGTGTCCCCGGATGATGTCGCTGCTCGGAGCCCCCAGAGTGCATCGCCAATCCAAGCGGGTGAAACCCTTCGGATCTGAACACATTGGGTCGTTCCTCGTTTTTTGGTGTAGTTTTTGTTGAGGGGTCCCCCAAAAAGGCATAGTGGTTGTAGTGATTTTGGGGTTGGTAGAAATCCTTTGAGAGACTTTCCCTGGCGCGTTTACACCAGAGTCTGCACTGATTGTGGCCTGCTCACCGTTTGGGGATGCAAGGAGCCATTTGCATAGTTTAGTGCAGATACTGTAGATCAAATATTGCAACTAGGGAAGAAGTTGGAGGCCTGTACTTAGCTGTAATTTGCTAGGGTTTGTGGCTGGATGGGGTTGGCCTGCTTGCCCCTGGCGGGGGTTGGAGAATCAGATCTTTCGTGGCGATTGGTTGCGGAATCCAAGCAAGTGCCAGCACTTACTGCTTGTCCCATGTCCAAAAGCCCAAGTACTGTTCTGGAACTCAGTTGTCGGAGGGAGGATCTGAGTTGTTTCTTGTGACATGGCAGGTAGGTTCATCCGAGGTTAGGGATTGAAGAATGACCCTGAAGCATGGCTTGGAAATTGGATCCCGGTGGACATCGTCGCAGTGTTTTTGTTTGGGAAGACTTGAATGAATAGTTTGATCTGCATTTCCTGTGACGCCATTTAGCAAGAGTTGGTCCCTTGCTCTAAACCATCCCGAAATAGATCATAGTGGAATCTTGTTTGAGAGGATAGCCTTGGATCTCAAAGAGCGGGAAAACTGATTGCATGTCCTAAAGTTCAATTTGTGGCAGCCCCTTTTGGACAGATCCTCTGTTGCGAGCTGGTCCAAGTGTTTCCCCAATATTTGCAATGATTTGATGTCGTCAAAACGTATAGCGAGTACTGCCCAAAGTGTCAGAGGTTCAGCTTCCCATTTGTCTCTGTAATGAAGCTTTCGACCTTGGGTTCAGCCTCAAAAGGGCCTTGTATTTCCAGGTCAATTGAAAAAAGGGACTTCTCTGAATGGCGTGGAGCTTGAAGCAGATTTGCACTTGGGCAAAACTGGAACAGGTCGCTTTAGATGTTTTTCCTTTCACCAAACTCTTCCAGCCCGTGAAGCGCGGGCTAAACCATCGCCTGTCGCAGGCACCCCTGAATCACTAAATGGACAGTGCGTGATCTGATGTACACATCTTCGCCTTGATTCCTGTACACATATCAGGGCTCCTTAAAAGATACACTTTGCCCATTTGAAACATTGCTTTTTCCAGCAAAATACAGGGAAACCACCATTTCCAAGTTGCAATGCTCAGGTGGATCCATTGTAAGGATCCCTGCATATTCGCCTTGGTTTCACCCCCGCCCCGTCTGCCCAAACGTTGAGCCCTGCGCGTCCTGGTTTGCTTCGCGCGAGGTCCCGACGGACGTACCTTCCCCCACGCCCGGGCCCCGGGCGCTGGATCCAAGCCGACGCGGAGGGTCGTGTTGGCCAAGGCGAAACGACCGGACCTGGGGGTGGGCCCCAGAAGGAAGCGAAGCTCAGTTTAAAAAGCGACCTGGAAAGGGCTTCTGGATGAATTGAGTCTGGTTGCAACTTGGCACCACATATTTTGGGTGTCCGGTTGGCAAGACCCGTACATTCCTACTCCCTAAATGGCTCATTCACCAGCCTCTTTGGGGCGATGAGTCGCACACAACAGATTTGTGGAACGAACGATTATGTTTTCGCACCACAGCTTTATTGGGTCTCACTTATTGTTGGAGTACTCTTTTTGGGGAGGTTTACAGATCATCGAAAGGGACTCCACCCCAATTTTGGGGTACTCCAATTTCCATCGCTCATGCCGCATGTTGGATGTTTCCGGGGTCCCGGGTCCAAGGCGGGCAAACGGGAGGTTTGGAATGAAGCTTCGGGTTCCTTACTCTGTTCGATTCACTTAGTAGGTTGTGACCAGGGCTATAAGGGGACGATCGCCCGATCAACTCAGCAGGTCCTTTGTGACAAGCTCCCATGAACATAGAACCCAAAAGGCCACGGTTGAGGGAATCTCCATTTGGGACCGGGCCCCCTGTTGTGGGCTCCATGTGGATGCTGATATGTGACATTATATCTTCACATTTTATTATAGTGTTACTTTGCAGAAGACCCCCAACAATGATTGGCTTGCTGTTGGTTTCCCTTTACCACCACCCCAGAAAAGTGTTTGTCTAGATGTCTCGAGCCTCAATAAACGTAAACACGCACATTGTCCGCCTGCCTCCACCCCTGGGGCTTTCTCCTGTCAACCCTTGTTCATGTAGTACTCAGTTGCCCAAAGCAAATCGACCTTTTAACCTTTTGGTTTTCCAGTTTTGGTCCATTTTTAGTCATGGCTCCAAAAGGTTAGCCTTTTATTTCTGGGTCCTTTGGGCAAGTGAGAGTATGCTTAGCTTGCTGGTTCTCAGCAGGCAATGAGAATTGGCATGCCCGAGAAAAAAACAAAAAAAACACATCCCCGATGTGTTTCCGTTGGGGAATCCCTAAACCAGTTCATTCCCAACCCCGAACTCTGGCATGACCCTTTAAAAATGGGGGCACCCAAAATTAAGGGGTGATGACTTTTTCTTCTAGGGATCACGGAGACTCCAGCTAGGCGCCCAAGGGCAAACGGCCCATTTCCAGAAAGACTCTTGGCATATAGGTCGCTGGCGCTGGAGTGCGAGGCATTCGAGGAGGCGCGAGAGCTGGCGAGCTGTCGCGCGGAGAAGCGTTTACCTGAGCCATGTAGTTTTTTGTCTTAAAAGGGGGGACCCCAAAAATGTGGGCGTTCAAACAAACCCATGTTGAGCTGCAACAGCGGCAAAAGCCCCGGTCTACGCTTGAGAGCTGCCTTCGGCACAGAGCTTCTTCATCATAGCGCCCAGTTTTAGGTGAAGACCCAATGGCGATACAGGCATGCAAGTTTGACCGTCATGCAATGGGAGGAATGTAGGTGAGGGTGCAGACTGCAGCCAAACAACCTCCCACATTTTTCTCAGGGCAGCTGGTAGCCAGCGTGTTTCTTCAAGCTTCAAGCTGTCTTGTGGTATTTGCAGGCCGCAGCACAGTTGCCACAAAGAATATTATTGGCTTGTTTCCTTCACTCATTGCCACAGCCAATATCTCACTGATTGAGCTTCCCAGCTCGGTGGCGGCCCAGGTTTCCCAAACTAAGGTGGCACGCCCACTCACCAGCTTGCTTGTGCTGACCTGCCGGGGGTTGAAAATGAACCCGAAGGGGATTCCGCGAAAGTTGAATCCATATATAGGGGATGGTTTTTTCTAGTGGTCTTTCCCTCATTCCCTGCCTATACTTGCTGATGCTCAGCAGGAAATGAGGGAATGACCCTTGTAAACCTTCCAACTGGTGGTGTTTCAACTTTTTTTGGTAATCCCACAACTTTTCATTCAGCCACATTCCCTACCTCTCGCAAGCTAGCCACGCAGGAGATGTTGGCGCCCAACCTCGCGGATCTCGAGGAGACCGCGGCGGCCCTGCCGGAGACTCGGAAGAAGTCTCCGGCGATGCGGCGGTGGCGTCGGTTTTAACTCAGGCGCCGCTCAGCGAATTGACCGGATCTGACTTTTTGGTTTCCGCATGTTGGCAGACCTTTTGACCTTTTGGTTCTCCCAAGCAGACCTTTTGACATTTTTGGCTTTCCCAGATTTGGTCCGTTTTTTTGGTCATGGCCCCAGAAGGTGAACCTTTTATGTCCAGGTTCTTTGGTCAGGTGAGTAGATAAAAGGCTCCCGAGAGCGAGCACCTAATCGGGGTGCCTGGCCTTTGTTCTTGCTTCCGTGCCAGGGAAGCTCCCGCCTTAGAGGAACGAGTTGTTGGAAAGGCCTTCAGGGGTATCGTAGAAGTGGTCCAGACGTGCCTTTTTCCCCATTCTGGGACTCTTCTCTTCAGAAGTGGGCCCAATCCTCACATGTTTGATGTTTGAAGAGCATGATGGATGGAGAGAATGGCAATCAACCAGTAGAACATCTTGCATTTCTGTCTTGCAACTTTGGAATTTGAAACATCACAAGCAGCCTAACTTTTGCTTGGAATTTCCTTTCCTCCGAACCTTCCCAATCTAACACCGGGCGAATTGAATCAATCACCCCGTGGCTGCAGTTCTTAACGCCGCCTTTGCGGTAGAGTCAGTTCTTGGGCTTCCTGGGCCAAAGGCTCTCTGCCGCTTCGGCATTCTCCAGGCTGAAGCATCCCAAGAGCAGTAAAGCCTCACAGCCACAATCAACGCCCAGGTAGATGGAGGTAAGGGATGATCCCAATGGTGTATGGGCGCAGCCGCCTTTTCAGTTGACCAGGTTTTGGGTGCAGCATTTCAATACCGATCGGTTTTGATTGTGACTCACATGGGTCCTTGAGGTGCGACGCGGACTACCCGCCTCCGATGCCCGAGTCTGCCCCAGTATCGCCAGGGAGCCTGGAGAGAGTGTTGCAGGCTGTCCATTTCCCTTGGAAACGACCGGGAAATCCTGTGACCCCTGAGAGAGCATTGGGAGGCTCGTTGTTTTTTTTTGATGGTGAAGGGTAGCCAAAGGTTTTATTGGGGGGGAACCCCATTTTGAGACCATCCATGTCATACCAACTTTGACCCAGCCTGACCGCCAGAGAGCTACTCGAAAGCGGCCCATTTTTCGGTCCAACTGCTTCAAACGTACCTTCAGCTCTCGGACCCTTCGGTTTCAAAAGCTTCCTCTGCAGGCAGTCTGGGACCAAGATAGGCGTGGGTGGTCAATTCCAAACCCATGATGTTTGGCACAAGTGGTCAAAATCACAATGGAAATGACCACATTGGTAGATCTTGGTTCCGATGCATGGTTGGTCTCACCATTACCCTTTGGTTGTGGGAAAACTCATTTTGCCCAGTTGACAGCAGAAAGCAGCCGAAGACCAACCAGAGGATGACATGGTTGTCCTTTCAGACTAAGTTGGAAGCTTCTGCTTCGCATGCCAAGCTGTCTCAGCGCAAATGATTCGGCAACAGGAGTGGTTGCCGGGGCCTCTCCTACATAAGCATAGGATACGCAAGCATAGGTGTCCTTTTTGGTTGGTTTGCTTAAAAAATAGAGGGTGATTCCTGGTTTAGATGGGGTTTATGCCCCATTTACCAGGGAAACCCATCGATTTTTCCAAAAGGCAACCTATGCACACAAGGCGTTTCTTGGGACACGAAGAGCTTAAGAAAGGCCAGACACACCCCGCTGAACCCAGTTGCCCAGCGCCCCTGCTTCCTGTTTTGTGGGGAAGGGTTTCCGTGCCAAGCCAAGTTGCCACGAAAAAAGGGCTCCTGAAAAGATGCATTTTGCAACCATTTGAAACATGTGGCTTTTTCCAGCAAAATAAAGGGACACACCACCATTTCCAAGTTGCAATGTGCAGGTGGATCCATTGTAAGGATCCCGGTTTTCCCCATGGAAACTTGCTGGGCCTTTGAGCGCTCGGCTCGGCTTTTGGCGCCGCTTTTCGACCTCCAGGTCTGCACCCATGAGCTCGCCCTCTGCAGGGGGGCCCAAAATGAGCGAGCCAGTCAGCTGCTCCCAGCCGCCGCCGTGCAAAACCGAGTTCTGGTCATCTAGCAGGTGGCTAGGCCCCCCAGCCAGGTGCCCGAAAAAAAAGCCATTCTTTCTTGGTTGGGAGGGTCCCCCTGCTAAAATAGACAAACCAAAAAAAAAGTTGGTACCATCTTATTCTAACCTCCCTACTGGAGGACCAGGTGGATTATAGCAAGGCCTACAAACCCCGATACAGCCACGCTGGCAAGAAGTTAGGCGGTTCAGCTACCTGGCGCACCCACCCGGGCTCGAAGCGCTTGAAGGCGCCGCCCTCGCCGCAGCTCTTGGTGCCGACGGAGCGACCCTCGCCCACCAGCTGGGCTGCGGCCAACGAGGCAGAGTCACGGGTCCGTTTTGGGTCGTCTTTTGAGCTTCCAGTTGCTTTCTTGGTTTAAGGGGAACCAAATGGAACCAATATGGCTGTGGCTCAAATAAATGAATTTCAAAATGACACCTTGGTAAATGGAACCAAGAACTAACCCTAGCTCTTGAATTTTGAGCCACTGCCATATTATATCACTAAATAATGGACATTATTTTTTGTTCCAGGGCGAAAACGGAAATGGAAGTGAGGGGGGCTTGCTGGAGGTCAGTTGGAGGTTATTTGAGAGTTTAAGGTTGGCCCCAGATACCACCTGGCAGATTAATAGGGGGGAAGTCTCCCAAAAGTGCTCGATTCCTCCTCCTTAATAAGCTTGCCTCTCCTGTTCATCAACCAAGAGTTTTACATTCATTGCAACTTTGCACACTACCGCACCATGTAACGAATAGGGGAACGCCGAGCGGGGTGGTTTCCCTGTGGTTTCCTCTGAAAGAGCCCTACACAAGTAACACAAGGGTTCCCAAAAACACACTCACCACATGGTGTGTGTTAAATAGGGGGGCACCCTCAAAAACGCCACACATAGGGGCCCTAAACCTTGGGAAGTACAGAGGGTTTGCCGCTTTCAGCTTGTGGCGTGAGTTCCGCTGGGAGGGTGGGCCGGGCCCGCGTAGGCTTGCTTTGCGTAGGCTTGAGATGCGCGGGCTCAGCAGGAAGTCAGCTGTTGGATTGGACACTTGTTCTGACATTGGAGAATATGTTGTTATGATTCCTGGACAATTGAGGTGGTAAAGTCTCAGTTGCCTAAAGCAAATTGACCTTTTGACCTTTTGGTTTTCTCGTTTTGGTCCCTTTTTAGTGGAAGTGCCAAAAGGTGAACCTCTTATTTCCGGGTCCTTTGAGCAAGTGAGAAGTGGATGCTTGTAGAAGTCACTAATTTTGTGCTTGAGCTGTAGCATGCTGTGCTTGTGTGATATATCAAGTCGTCCCACAGCCGTTTATTGGGGAACCCTGTCATTGCCAAAATGGCGGGGCTGCTACCCACGCAAAGTCCCAATCAAGACGCCGAACATGTTGCTTTCCCCATGCTTTCCCCCGGTGGATTTAGAAGGGGTTGTCTATCATGGGTAAATATAATATGTTATCGGCATGGAAATGGGGTTCCGACTAGATCCCCCCAACCAGAGCTTTATCCGGCATCATGTGTTTGTCTTCTACTCGGTATGTACATTTATGTGCACCGAACGCCAACTCCTGAGGGCACGTAGCCTACATGTGCACCGCACACCCTTAGAATATTGCATGTCTTCTCTCCTTACCTTATGAAACCAAACATCCCTCTGATTATAGAAGGGGCCCGAAAGCTTTCAGCAAGGAAGCAACGAACCACAAGGTTGCGAAATTCAGTTGCGGCACCCCATTCAGGGTTTCCTGGATTTTTGAGAATCAACCATTCCCCACAACAGGACCTGGGCATCCTTCAAAGAGTCAACTGCAACCCCCGAAGAGGAAGATTCTCAGGCAAACAAAAGAGAACCAACCGTTTTAGGCAGAGCTCCTTAAAAGATACATTTTGTCCATTTGAAACATGGCTTTTTCCACCAAAGTAAAGGGAAATTCAGGTGTAAAATATCAGGATATCCCTGTTCGGGGATCCTTGTTTTGAGAACCTCTCCACAGGCCCTGGACCGGAAAACACAATAATAATTATATAAAAAAAAAAAAAAAAAAAAAAAAAAAAAAAAAAAAAAAAAAAAAAAAAAAAAAAAAAAAAACGCGAAGGTAGCGAAGGCTCCCACGGTGCCGACGGCTCAGCCGCCCGGGGCCTGAGACGATGTGAGGGGCGAACGGCAGCGGGTGGTTGTGAATGTTGAGAAGGGACAGTCCCAGGGTTGTGGGAAAAGACTAACACCCCATATACAGGGGGAGATTCCCTTGTATCACAGAAGTGGGAATAAACCCCTTGATTCCACGGACAGTCCCAACTGTAAATGGCTAGCTTGAAGCATTCCCATGCTTTGTACAGCTGAAAGGTTCCTTGTCATTGGGTATTGTTTGGGTTTGATTCTGCCATGCGTTGTCAGTTGCAGCCGGCTACGGGAGCCTTTCGCAAGTGGTTGGCGGACATGAATCCCCACCTAAATGATGTCCACCAAGGGTCCACTGTTGAATTTCACTGGCCAAATGGGTACGGCTGCCCTTTAAAGTCTTTACATGGTTTTGGTGGGCCATAGCAGGTTTTGATTGTGTTTCTGGTGGGTTCCATATTGGTTGGTGGGAGCACTGACCTGGCATTGGCGGGAGCAGATCGGATTTTTGTCCTGCGAGCAGAATGGCGCAACAATCACCCTACCCAGCTCAGGCATCAGTTTTGATTTGCAAAGGCCATGTGGTGACTGCTTCGACAGCACGGCTTCGCCGCCCAATTTTGACACATAAATGGCAGCCAACCGGGCATCTTCCTTCTAGTTAGATTCTAGTATTTTGTAAGGGTGGTTTATTTCCCGGGTTACACGGGGAAATGGCGTCACTTAGGACCTCCCCGGCCGAGCTCCCAGTGCCCTCCAAGCACCAAACCTCACCCACAGAGGTGGAGGAGGCGAGGTTGAAGGATTCGGATTGGTTGAAACCTGGGTGTGTGTTTCTGTTTTCTCGCGGGGGGGGGGGGAAGCCCAAATGGTGGGTTTCCTTTCAGTGTCCCTTTTTACACCATAACCCACCTGTTGGTGGTGGTGGGCAGTGGAATCCCGCATAGAGTCCCGTTGAAGTGGGGGAGTGGGGGGGGGGGGTCCGAGACATCCTCGGCTTGATTTCGTGTCATATTGACCTTTTATATAAACCCTTTTACCTTTTGGGACTAACCCGCAAAACTTCAACGCAGCGTGTTGTTTTGCTATCCAGCAAAAAAGAGGGATCGCGTTTTGCAGCAGGACCGGCTCCTCGCATGTTATCCACCAAAGCAGGGTTGAGAGGCGAGTGCAGCTTGTTCCATGTGATTCACGTGCCAGAGGCTTTGGTTAGATGATTTGTCAATGTTGTCCCGGTTTTTCCGATTGACCTTGGTTAAGACTTGTAAACGCTCCCTCATGGTTTGTTCGCTTCTGATGCACTTTGAGCAACCTTGCAACCCACCTCCAACTGGTATCGCAGAACCGGATAATTGCCGTTGGTTTGGACAGTGGTTTGTGTCACAACCCCTCCCAAGAAACAAGCACGTGGGGCGATTTCTGGATTTGAAGTTTCCGCTCTTCACAGGCGCCCACGGAATCGGTGCCGCTGCCAACGCGGCCGGCCGGGGGCTCGACAAAAATCGCGAGGATGTTTTGGAGGGGTCCTCGTCCGGGACAGCGAATGCCCCCATCCAGACAGTTCCAGAGCGACCAGTGCAGTGCCAGATGGCTCGTTCATCGAGGGAGCCAAGCCGACTTGCTGAGAAATGTCCCAAGTTGCTGCTTCTTGAGTTTGTCTGTTTTAAGCCCCGCCCTCAGAAACCCAGAAACCAATAAGATGTGGTTCTCCTTTGGTTTTCCCTATTTCGCCCACCCCAAGGAAGGGCTTCTCAAGAAAGCACCCACCTGAACCTGCGAACCTGCCAGGTGATCGCTCGAGTTGCACATTGCCAGTGTCCCCTTTTCATATTGGGAGTGAAGTATTTTGATAATTTGTGTATACCTTGACCTGGGAAAGTCAGCGGCTCGGCTCAAAGCCACTGGCACCAAAGAAAGGTTCCGTTGCTGGAACCGCGGCGAGCGAGCAACGAGCAACATGCGCCAAAGGGCTCTTTCTGGGGAGGGGGGGGGGGCAAGTGGAATGAAGTAGTCCCAGACTGCTCTCCAAAGAAATGGGGGAAAAGGGGGGGGGGACTCTTTTTGGGATATCGTCGATTTTACACTGAAGCCCTCATCCAACAAGCCGAACCTGGTCTTGAAAGTGATCAAAGCCCTTGTTTTTTGGAGCAAAGCTTGGTGGGTGGGAGTGGACTACCCATATGTACCATGAAATCATGAAACAAGAGACATTGCGCATGTTGTACATGTTCATGCATCCCTGTCTCATCCTGTGTTGTTGTAGTTTGTTCTCTCCAGCTTCAAGCGTACTACACGAAAGTGAGATCTCTAATCGTTCGACATCACGGTTTCGCGTCATGCGTTTTCTGTCAGCTAAAAACGCTTGAGTTCAACACCCATGGTGGTTGTTCAATCAAATCAGTCTTTGATCAAGCAAACAATGACTTCAACACACGGTTGAATCAGAGCATATATATGCCCATCCGCAACGTATATGCCAATAAACCCCATGGTTTAATAGGTTACCGTCTTTTCCCGGCCCTCACGTTGCCTCGCGTTGCCTCCTCCCTCCCGTGTTTCCGGTGAACTTCTTCAGACTTAGGTGGAAACCCTCCACTCCGAGCCGCCCACCCTGCCCTCGGCGTTGCCGGCCAGCGCGCGGATGCCGCTGGGATTGCCGACAGCGATGTCTCGTTGGGCGTGGGACGACTTCTTGGATCTTGAGATTCCATGCAGGAAAACATCATGGGACAGCGTAGGGTCACTTTTGTGAGCCGCGAGCACCTGTAGGTGTTTGGCCACCTGGGTTAGACTCCATTTACAACCAAGTTAACTCTACCAAAACTACCAAGAAGACCTTCAAAATTAGCTAGGAGTGGAACTGCTTGGGCATCAATGTAAAATCATGCCCAGGTGGGTAACACCAGGTTGATGGAGACCCCAAAGACCCCCAGTTTTCCGCCTTCTTTGACCCACAAAGAGGGTACAAAGGCAGAAACGAAAGGGGTTCTCCTTTGACGCTCCAAGAAGTCCAGAGGCTTCTCACGTCGCTTCTCAGGGTGTCCCCGGCGGATCCGCCGGTGCCCACGGAGATGCCATCGCCCAGCGAGCGGCGCGAGGAGACGGAGGTCGGGCCTCCTAGACGGTCGATCAACCAGTATTTGATTCAGAATTGATCTGTACGACAAACTGCTCTTTTCACAACTCCAAGCCCTGGTTTGTTAAAAATATCCAGTGTTTCCAGCGGATTCGGTTCATCAGTAGGGGGCTATACCCCATTAAAGCTTCCTTCTCATTGCCGGACTTAGCTTATCATCATTTGTTTTCATGTTTTTGCCGTTGTGGTGTTCCATCACTTTCCCTGTTTACTCCGAGCAAGTTGATTAGCTATGGTTGTTGCCAAAGGGCCGAAACCAGTCTGGAGTTATGGGCCGCAATTGCCTCCCTTGGGTCCTCGAGCGTCGGGATCCGCCGGGTTTTGCTGAACCCGACACTCAGTCTTAGCCCCTGAGGTCATGCAACTTTTTCGGGTTTGGACCATTTTAGCGGTGAATAGAAAGCTCAGGCTTCTGTGGCCTGGCCCCACTTGATTTTGACACATTCTCACTTGTGGGCACTCCAAGATGGTCATGGCTGTCCTTTCTTCCTGAGGGCACAGCCTTGGGTGATGCAAGTGGCTGTTTTGGGGACATGCATGGTTGTGCGGCAATCCACATTCCTGGCGACTGTAGGTGAGCTCCAAAGCAGCTTGTGCACTCTGTGTGTCCCAAACGGTTTTTCACACAGTGATCCTTGTATATGTTCCCGCGAGTGGTTCAAACAGCGCCTTAAAGCCTTTGAACCAATATTGGGTGAGTTTCCTTTTGGGCTGATGTGTCCAGGGGACACAGAACCATTGAATGCCAAGTTGGACAGTTGGACCCCCTGGCAGGAAGAGGTTTCGGTTTGCGGTCGATTTGGGGCGCAGCCACGGCGATAAGAACTCCCCGAAAGATCCACTTAAGGCAATAAGGCCTCAAGAAGATCCCATATGGTTGTGAAACATATGCGGTCTCAGGGCCACTTTCTGTGACACCAGCAGAATCCCCTTCAAAGTGACAAGAGTCCTGGGGATGGCCCATGTGGCATCTTCTTTTAACGTTTCCGCGGACATGCATCGGCAGCCGACTAAGCCACCCATTTCCGCGTTGCGGTCCAAGCCAGTCGTCCACTTAACCCTGGGGTTCTTCCTGAAGTCTGCCTGACCTAAGGTCCAAAGTATGGCCAAAATAGGATTCCCACACACTCCATGTAGGTAATACATACCCCAAAAACATGACGCAATCGGTGAGTGTGGGTACGGAATCCGTTGGGGTTTGGGCCTTTGGGAGTGGGTTAGGACGTTCTGAAACCAGCCAGGATGTGGCATCCGCGCCTACTGGGCCCTCGGCCGGGGCCCTGGGATTTCTCTTCAGGTCTGACGGCCTTTGGCCAAGGCGTGCAGGCCCCACTTCGGGCGCTCGCTCGGGCCGCTGGTGGCTCGAGTCGGATTTCTCAGGGCAAAAGTCTGTGAGAAGATATTTTTTCTGATGTAAACCCACCAATACTTGCTTGAAGCCAGGGACCGCGTTTCGGCAGAATAACGGCAACCCAATGTCTTCTAAAATGTGTTGTGAATGTTCCTCCCTTTTGCAGCACCTTTTTGAAGCAGTTCTGGGTTCTGGATGGGGGGGTTGGCACGTTTCAGCTGGCCCAGTGTGGTTGAGACCGTCCCTTTCCCGGGTGCCATCATAGGAATCTGGGGTAGACTTAGGATACATTACATTTTACCAGTGGCTCAAAGTGAAGCAAACAAAAAATATACATTCTATAACTGGGCCCAACTCTAATCATGGAATGTTTGGTTTGTCGCTTCTTCTTTTTTGTCCCCCACATCTGAAAGCTATGGGCCATGGGTATTTTTTTTGCGCACATATGCGATAGGGGGTGGTTTGGTGCAGCTTTTGCGGGGTGAGGGGGTCCGGCACCAGGGCTCATTCGGCGGGAAAGTCGGAAAGAGGATCCTCAATGTTTAGACTTCTCTCATGTGGCTTCATCTTTTTTGGTGTGTTTGCTCAATGGAAGCCAAAGCACGAATTCTAGGCCTTGCAGCATTGTTGGAAGAAACTGTCCAAGGCGGCGCCCCATTTTTTGAGGCGCCCGTTTTATGTTGGATGGCTTCAAAAGGAAACCAACAGAAGACCTCAGGGGGGGGGTTGTGCCGCTTTCGATGTGCATCGCAGGTCACAGCAGGGCCGGCGACTCTCACGCAAGCTGCAAACCCAGTTGCGAGGTTTCCGAGTGTGGGGAAGGGAAGCATCGGCAAGTGCTTTGGTTTCACCCTTAACCTTCAGCGGTTCGGCTCGCAAAGCCTTGCGCCAATGTCTTTAGCGCTTGGGGGTAAAAGACCAACGACCGGGAGGGAGAAGTGAATCCTTGTACATGAGGAGCCGGCCGAAAGGGGGTCCGAGATCTCGATGCCCTTTGTGGACTTTATGGAACCAGAATGCATGTCTTGTGCGAGCTCCCGGGTCGGCGGGGTAAAATCGAGGCATGCCACCCATGAAGGTACCTTCCGGATTCCTGGCTTGCTTAACTCGCTTAAGTAGAAGGGATGAAATTCACAGAGGGTGCAAGTACTCTACGTACTTCAGCCAAAAAGGGTTCAGGGTACATCCTCACAACTCACTCGGACCCTTCCTTAACTTTGGCTCCCAGACTCTGACTCGGACCAGGGGGAGACGGCTGGGGGTCGTGAATGAGCCCCTGTCATTGATTCGATTTGGCCCTCGTAGCGCGACCAGAGCCAGGCCAGGGGCCCACCCTTAAAGCGAGGTTGAAGCCATCTTCGTTTCAGCAACCTTCTTTTGGTTCACTCTTCCACTTGCTTAAGAATATGGTGTTTCTTCCTTTGTGTTGTTTTTTAGGGAATCTGTGCAGCGGCCCCCAGCTGGTTGAAGCCAAGTGGCTGCAATGCTCGCCTCGAGGTGCGCCCAAGTTCCCCCAGTGAGCTCCCGGCCCGGCGCCTAGGAGCTCGACTTGAGCTTCGAGTTTTTTTTTTTTTTTTTTAATGGGCTCCTCCAATGGTTTGTTTTTTAAAAAGGACCTTCAAAAGTGGCACGTTCACTGGAACCCACCATTTGGTTTGCAACTCTTGAGGTGGAAATCTAATGACCCCTGTAGGCGGTTAGCCTTTGGCCGAGTTGGTAGGTTTGCCACCTGGTAGCAACAAGATTAAGAGGTCCAACTTCACTTATGTACTGTTGGGGGTGCCCTCTATGAGGTTCGGGCATATGTAGGAGTGGGATCATCTGTTTCTGGGCAGTTCTCAGCCATCTTTAGAGTTTATGGCGTCCGTCGGGTAAAGTTTCACTGTTTGCAAGGGGTCAAAAGACCACTCAGTTGAGCAGCTGCTTGTTTTGTAAAGAAGGGGGGCCTATTGGACAGGGTTGGGGGTTGGCCAATGGGAAACGCCACAGGTTTTGGGGGGTTCCGGTGTATGGGCAATCCAATCCAGGGTTTGGGGCCCCGCAGTGAGTCGCGCGGCGGAGCTTGTTGCGTAGGGTGTCCCCAATCCATGGTGACTTGACCCTGGGATTCAACCCAAATAAAAAAAAGGAATGGCAAACACCCAATTTGGAGGCTGAAAATCCTTAGGTAGAGAATGGTTGCATAAACCCCCCATTCTTATGGTGGTTTGAACCCCTGGGTTCATATTGAGACAGGGCCCCAACCACGAAGCATCTGGGCCCCGATACCGACTTTAAGCAACCCAACAAAGAGTACCCCGGCAAAAGCACATCCACAGCGGTTGAACCACATAATTGGTCGTGTCGCCGTGTTGGACTGCTGGCAAAGTGCCAAAGACATCTACTTTAATCTCAACTGGGGCATGCTAAACGCGCAATTCTTGGGCTGCGTTGGTTTAAGGTTGCAATTATTTCACCTGTGTGGAGATGTTTTTGTTCCTCACTGAGCACGTTCAAGGCAGACCCAAAGAAGCTTCTGACTTTCAAGGGTTATGGATTACAACTTTCGCCGGCTTGGCGAACGGGCTTCTTTTTTTCTGGAGGGGTTTCCCTTGAAAATCAACTACCCAAAAAAGGGGTGCCGCTTTTTCCTTAATCCACTGGGGGTCTGGAGCTTTGTAGAGTTTGGGCCCGAGCCGCGGCGTATCTGACTGCCTCGCATCCATCCCACGCTCAGGTGCCATCGGAGAGGACGGACATCGATACAACTTCGGGGAACGGAAGGCAGTTTACTTGACTGCTATTGGGTTGGATCTTTAGACTTCAACTTTTTGGTTGAAATCAAGTTAGGTTTTCCACTAAACCCCCAAAAAGTTTTCAACTTTTTGCAGGGGGTTCAACAGCAACCAAGTTTAAATAGCCCATTTGGGGGCTTCTTGAATTGGATTTCGGACCTGCTTTGGATTTGTATGGTTTCAGGAAACCAAAAGAAAACCACCTGCCTGACACTGGGAGAACACCCATTTGGGTGTATCTTTTACTGAGGGTACCCCTTCTCTGGTAGTCTTAAAAGGCAAACCAGAAGGAAGCTCTTCATTTTGGGGGGCCCGATTGCTTTAAAAAACACCCCACATATATCAAGCCACTCGCTACCCTTGGGGACAGGAACGTTTTTGTTGACCTGAACCCACAAAAGGAAGCCGAAAGGATTCCATCGCTTAGAGCTGATTCAGGTGCCCAGTTCCAGGCACGCAAAAAGAAGAAGCAGGTAGGCAAGGCAGGGCAAAGATGAGGGATCCTCCAATGTTACATACCCTCATGTCTTCATTTCGGTGCGCTGTTGCCCTTCCCAGGTTTGCTCAACCCCTGGAAATGTGTCCCGTTTTCTCTTGAGGGAATGCAACACATGTCCCAAAGGGTACTGATCTCCTAGGATTTCAGCTGCCCTTTGGTGTCCCCCACGAGGCCCTATTCGAAATGGAGTAAACCCCGGGAAGAGGGGGTGTTTCGATCCTGTCCCTTTTCCTGTGCCTCAATCCCGAGCCTGGCTAGGAAGAGGAAAGCTGAAGAGATCGAGCAGGACGAGAGAGATGCATGCCTAAGCACTGGTTTGCGCTTTTGCGTGACTGATGTCACCTTTGTTTTGAACAATGCCTGTTTTCCTCAACCAAACAAGTTGTTCACCATTTTGAGTTGGACAAGAGCAGGTTGGGTCAGTTGGAGCAGAGGAGGTGGTTTCCAGGTCCTGCAAAATCGAAGGCCCATTTATGAACCCCTGGCTCCCATTCGCAAAAGCACCGCCGAAAATGTTGCCGTATTCCGATCACTCACACAATTTGCTCATGTTGCAGCCGCGGAAGCCCCAAGAAACTTGCCGTGAAGATGAAAGTCATGAGGGTGGACTCTCGACGGCTACTGATGTTTGTGGCTTGCGCACGGAAAGCTCATACAATGTTGACCGGCCTGATTCCGGGCCAAAGAACCGCCGATTCGAATTGACCTTTTTGTGTGTTGGTCTTTCGCACGTTGAGCGGCTTTTGCATTCAAGGTTCCAACATGGTGATGTGTTGTTTTGCGATGCCCCCACCCTTAATAAATGAAATCTAGGGGGTACCCCCCGTCAGAAATTTCATTTACCAATTTCATTTATTATTTTGTATTATTTTGTGTCACAGGGAAAAACCCACATCAATTCAAAGAAGTATGGGTGTTTCTATGTGTTTCTAACAACCAGATTTACAATTTTGGGTGTGTCTTTGAAGGGACATCAAAAGGAAACCACCCTTTTTAGGGAGGCCTGGCCTGCATTTGGCTCATCGGTCCCGCGGCCCCCGCCTGCAAGCCTGCCTTGTGCATGGCCCGGCACCCAGCAGGGATCAGTGGTGATGTGGGAGCATGCGGGAGCACAAGGGGCATGAACATTCTTTCATATTCTTTCGGCATCTTTCGGCAATCTGGATTGTTTTTGTTTTTCAATGTTTTTCAGGCCATTTCAGGCCCACAGTGGCCCACACGAAACGCTAAGAGCAGCCGTGAGGACCTGTACGGACCTATCTAGCTGGAGCCGCTCATCTCAAGACGAGGCCCCCCCAACTGTTCTGGCTCCGCTCATTGTCCACTCCCCTTGGCGCAGCTGCTTTTGCTCCGCAGTCACCGATAGCCACCGGTAGTCACCGGTAGTCACCGGTAGTCACCGGCAGTCACCGGTCATCACCGCTGAAATCCGCTGAAGCTATGCCATGGTGCGCTTTGTGTGCCTAGCCTGTGCACAAGGATGGCTGGCGCTGCGGGGAGGGGCACACGTACCACGACCAGTGCCGCGATGGCTGTGTGAGCGGCGTGGCAAGTTTGGTACTGTATGTTTGTTTTATTGCGTTTGTATGTTTTTGTTTGGGTACATTGTTATATATTAATTATGATATATTATGATATATTATGGTATATTCAAGTCTTTCATTTACATTTGGCATCATTTGGCCATATTTGCGGCACCTCAACCACCATTTGTCAACCACAGGAGAGTTCGCAGACCTGTTCAAAAAGACCTGCAAACACCCCTCAGATGCGAGCCTTGGCCAGGTTCATGCTTCTTATGTTTTGCGCCATCCTTGTGGAGCGTATTTTTGTATTTTTTGTTTTTTTTGTTGTTGTTTTTTTGCGTGTTGCAAGCCTTGCTGCAACGCGCAGGTTCTTGTCTTGATAAATGCAAAGTATTGCGATTTCGCATGATTTCGCTGCCCAGGTGCCCACACTGTCTCATCCAGCATTGCGGCCGCGACTACATGCAGATGTGGCCATCAACGGTTTTGGTGGTGGCCTGTTCAGCTAGCCAGAGCTACACCGAGCTGGAAGCTTGGCGGTGGAATCATGAGTCTTCCCATGTCTTCCCTTTTCCGCCTCAAACACGTTTGGCTTTCTTGGTTTCTTAACTGTAGATGGTCGAAATGTTGTCTAATGCTTTCCCAAAAGTCCTAAACCCAATCATCATAAATCATCATAAATCATCATACATCAATACAAATCATCAAAGCATATCAAAGCAAAGGGTCGTTTGATGGCTTTTGCATGGTATGGGCTGATGTGTGTCGATTCCTCCTTACAGTTGCTTCGAGGAGATGCTTCATCCGATGAGACTGCCTTACCACGCCGAGAGAGTCAGGCGGTCCTTTGTGATCCACGACTTGTTGCTCGGCGAGAATTGAGTAAGACACATAATTTCGCATAATTACATATACTTACACCATATTACACCATATCCAATCATATCCACCCCATCCAGGCTAAGCTGCTACTGGCTTTGCCGCGTATGGCTGGCTGCCCCTTACCATCCCTTACCATATATGGGTCTGTGCCTTTTTGAGGTGTGCAAGGTTTAGTGAAGGATGGAAGTTCGATGAAGTTCGACTTGTGCGAACCATGCCCCCGAACATCCCCGAACCATACCACGAATCATACCTCCGAGCCAAACCCCGAATCATACCCCCGCTTTGCAACGCCAGGCACCACTGCTGCTAAAACATGATAAAACATGCTAAAACTTCTTTTACATATTTTTATATACTTTTACTACTGCTACGACATGCTAGTACTACTACTACTGCTACTTATTTGCGTTCACATGCGCTTACCCATGGGTTGACATTGTGCTGTGGCATGTTGTGGCCAAGGAGGCTGCTGCTCCCTGGCCAGGAAGAGCCGGAGAACCGCCCCAGCGGTCTTCGCGCGGACACACGCGCGCAGGTGACTGGGCAGGCATTTTTCAAGGAGTGCATGCAGGGCATTGTGATGAGGCCCGCTGAGCATGTTGTGCGCCTTGGCAATTACACTTTGCAACGTTTGTGCATGGCTATTTCGTGTGTTCTTTTGCTCGCTTAGCTGATATCTTGAGATATCTTGAGATATCTTGAAATATCTTGAGATATCTTGAGATCTTGAGAGGGCTTTCTGGTATTTTCTGGTAGCTGACCTTCTGAGATCTTCTGAGTAGCAAACCATAGTGGTTTCCGTATGTTTCCGTATCTTCCATGGCTTTCATGTTGTGATGTGCTGCGCTTGCAGCGTATGGTTTGACACGATTTGCCTTTTTGGCATCTTTCGGAGCATTTTGGAGCCCTAGCTTCTGAGGATTGCTTGCGGCACTGGGGTTCACAAGTCCGTCACGGCTGCGGCCATCCTCACCGGTCTTCTCCAATGGTCGGGCCGCGCCTTGGCTCCTCGCGATTTCGGCGTGTTTGCGTCGGCTCCCTTTGTTGCTTGATGCTGCAAATTGCTGCGCTTGACCATTGTTTATGTTGCCCAAACTTGTGTTTGACAAATTTTGACAAATTTTGACAATGTCATTGTTTGACAGAGTTTGACAGCTTTTGCTCATGTCACCGAGAAGCGGTCTGCATGTTGAAAAATATTGAAAATATTGGAAAATGTTGAAAATATTTGACAGGCACCAGGTCTTTGGCGGGAGGCTGCAGAAACTTGGATCCGCTTGTGTCATGCCTTGCGGTCTCAGGAAGTGTGCGCTGCCTTGCTCCTACCCTCTACAACCACTGGAACGTCAACGAAGTCACCGGTTACCTCTGCACTGGCAGCGTTCCCGTCCACGGCGTCGTCCGCATTCAATTGTGCAAGGAGGCGGCTCAGGAGTGGGGCCACAAGGTGGGGGCAAAGCAGCCCTCAAAGGAGAGGGAGCCCAGCGCACTTCCACCGGTTGAGGAAGAGCTGGAGATCACCGGTGAGTCATGGCCACAGATACAGGGGGAGTTGCCTGAGGCCATATGCCTGCTGAGCGACGCGAGGATCAGCTGCTGGCTGGATGCTCAGGGGGTGAAGGTGGGCCACCCAAAGGTTCAGGAACTTGCAACGATCCACCTGCTTCGCCAGCAGAAGCTCCTGCGCCTTGGCAGAAATTTTCGGAATTCACAATTTAGAGGTATTCACATGTATTCACACAATTTCACACACACACACACACGAGACAAGCAGGTAGATCTGGTCTGATCTGGTCTGATCTGGTATGCAACACCTGTCAGCAAACGCTAGTAGATGTTACCAGATGTTACCGGATGTTACCGGCCATGTTGTCTCAGCCGGTTTCGTCCGCTTGCTAGGATCAAGATGGTCTCCAAGCTCGGTGATCGCAGCTCCTGTGACAGGGCTCGAGCCTCACGGGACCTGGCTGGCGCCCGCTTCGGCTTTGTTCTCTCCTGCATCTTGTCTGCGCTAGCAATTGTTGGGGCTGCTGAGCAATGTTGGGCCACCTTGGGCCACGCCACGCCACGTCCGTACGTTTTCAATCGTTTTCAATCGTTTTCACGCTCGACTTTTGGACCATGGACCTGCTTCTCTGGGTTGCCAATTCTAAATAATTCTAACCAATTCTACATAATACTAAGGCTGACTCTCAGATTCCAAGTACTGACTTTAGTATTGCCATTATTTGCAAATATTTGCAAATTCTTCTTTTAGAATCTTTTAGAAATGATTAGAATTGATTAGAAATGCCAAGGCCCAGCTCTACTTTAGTATTGTCAAGGCTGACTCATGCTGACTCTCAGATTCGCAGCACTTACTGTAGCATTTCCAATTCTACTTTAGTCCTGTCAAGGGGCCCGTTTTGTCAGGAAATGACAGGAACCCACAAACAGGTTGGACACTAAAAAGGACCCAAAACAGTCCCAAACAGTCACATTAAAGAGGCTCAGGCCATCTCAGGGCCTCTTGTTTGCCTTGACTTTTTGATACTTTTTGTAAAGAAGGTAGCAAAAGTGGATGGTTTGGGATGGTATGCTTCATGGCATGGCGCTACCCAGGCATCAAGAGCGAGCGCCAAGAGTTCGCCAATGAAGCCTGACCTGATCCTGAGCTTGATCAGCGGAATTATGCGGAATTATGCGGAATTCATCGGTGACCGTCGGCGCGTATCGGTATATATCGGTGCTCAGCGTTTTTCACCGGACATGGCAGGAGTACTGTCAAAGAACAATATAGCTAATATTTGCTAACCTTAACTTGGGGGAGGCCCATTTGATGCCATGTGTATCCATTTGTTACTCAGAGCTGGACATCGCCACGGTGCAGCAGAAG